CAGGCAAGCCTATGGAGCATATTCTTAATTAGTGACAGGTGGGAGGGTTCAGGTCTTTGTTGGCAGTGCCATCCCTGGGCCTATGGTCCTGAACAGTGTAAGAAAGCAGGCTGAAGTCAGGCATGATGGCTCACACCTTTAATCCCAGCACTTGGGAGGCAGAGGCAGGCAGATCTCTATGAGTTTGAGGTCAGCCTGATTTATATAGTGAGTTTCAGGACAGCCAGAGCTGCACAGTGAGATCTTGTCTTGAAAAAAACATAAGAAAACAACAACAAACAAACAAACAAAATAAAAATAAAAAGGAGCTGGGCAGTGGTGGCACACACCTTTAATCCCAGCACTCGGGAGGCAGAGCCAGGCGGATCTCTGTGAGTTCGAGGCCAGCCTGGGCTACAGAGTGAGTTCCAGGAAAGGCTCCAAAGCTACACAGAGAAACCCTATCTCAAAAAACCAAAAATAAAATAAAATAAATAAAAAAGCAAGTCACCAGGAGCAAACCAGTAAGCAGCACTCCTCCATGGCCTCTGCATGAATTCCAGCCTCCTAGTTCCTGGCCTGACTTCTCTGAATGATGGACTACATGCTGTGATGAAATAAACCCTTTCCTTTCCCAAGTTGCTTTTGGTCATGGTGTTTTATCACAGCAACAGAAACCCTAACTAAAACATGCCCCTACATTGTAAACTTCATGAAGATATTATTTTTGCTTCCTTGTTTATCATAATAACCCCAGCATCTATAGTACCTTAAAAAAAAGGACACCTGGATATTGTATGGGGTCAGTAGACACAGGGTGAAATGTTGTAGGGTATCCACCAGAGAAGATTGCTCATGCATGGATTTAAGCCAATAGAAAGTCTTTATTAGCTGGCCGGTAGCTACATTTAGTGCTCAAGATCCCAAATCCTCAGTAGTCTTTCTCAGGGTGAGCTTTTAAGCACACACACACACACCAAAACAAAAAAACACTCATATATTTTGTGTTGACATACTTCAGTTAGCAAGAACAGCTAGCCAGAAGCAGAACTACAGAAGCCGAAAAGCAAGGTTAGTACATTTATAGACTTTCCCAGAACTGTGGGCTTTGATGGATTAGGTCTTTGTTTTCACTTTGGCGGGTGGTACTGTCTACGTGCTGAGTTTTATGGCCTGAATGGTACTTCCAACATGGCATCAGTTGTGTTTGGGGGCCCCTACAGTTGAATAATGGAACTAAGTTAACGAGAACAAATTAGAGGAGAGTGAAAGAAATCCTAAAGGGTCACGAGCATCCAGTGTTGGTTGTGGGTTCAAGCTTTCAACATCTTGTCTCTGGTACTTTCCCTGACCAGGAGGTGTGTCAACACACAGTGTGGAAACAGGTGGTGCTGTGGTCTCACATGTCAGTTCCAAAACTCAATCTGAAATTTGTCATTGTACCGATCTTAAGTGGAAAGCCTTCAAGAAATGATTGAGCCGTGAGGGCTCCGACAGCGGCCTTATCCCTCTCTTTCTTGTCCTGTCTTTCTGTTTGGGATGCTTGCAATGCCCTTCTGCCATGTTACAGTGCAGCAGGAAGGCCCTTGTCAAATATGGCTCCTTGATCTTGAGTTCTCTAGCCTCCAGTACCAGCAGCAGAACACGCTTCCATTGTTTGTGGCCCCATCTATGGCATTGTGTTATAACAACACAGAGTAGACAGAGACACTGGGGAAAGGGGGCCATAGGTTCTGTCTGGGGAGGCTTATCTCGGAGCTTATGGCTGGCTTGGCCGGAGCAGTCTTGGCTCTGAGACCTTCAAAAGGCTTGTATCCAGAGGTGCACAGTTCTGCTGGCATCTCCTGGCTTGAAGGCTCTGGCCAGATTTTCCTGGCCTCCCCGGCTGATTCCAGTGCCTTTTGGCTGGGTGAGCACTCTTGGCCACTTCCACGGTGCCTTTAGAGCACGGTCAGCAGAATGGCTTTCCTCACCATCAATGAGCTGGGCCTGGGCCAACCCACTGTCGCCTGGGCTGGCTTCTCAAGTCTCGTCCACGCTGCACAAAGCGTGAGACAGCCAGGTGGGGTTAGGTGAGCCCTCCAGGGGTCTACTGGAACCTCAGACCTGGTCCCTTCCTATGGGTCCTATGGAAGTTTCTCCTTTCAGCTCATACGCCTCTCATCCAGATCCTCTGGAGTCAACCAGTTTTCCTATCCCTTCCCTCCGTGTCTTCTCTGGGGGCTTCAGAGTAGTGTTTTCCAACTCTGCACGGGGTTTGTGGCTGTCCATTTCTCCAAGTCAGTAAACACCCCCTACTCCCATATATACGTACACACAAAAGTAGGCAGTCAATGCTTCAGAGGAAAGGACTTTTTTAATATTACCAGTGAATAATTGCGTGGCCTGCTCCATGGCTTCAAATCATTCCCTCACCATGAAAAACTCATTTCTACTGAGGGCCTACTACACTACTATTGGTTAGAGCTTTAAACCCATTATCTCCATCAGTGCACACACAACTTATCAGGTAAGTTATGTCTAAACAACTTTATTGTGAAGTGTAACACATCCAGAAGACACCTAAAATGTGCATATGAGCAGTTAACTAACTGTCCCCCATATTACCATATGGTTACACATATCATATCTATTACACGTGTCTGTGATGGACGCTCTCCATCTTTTCTGTGTGTGATCTTGGGATCAAACTAGGGCCCCACTCATGTTAAGCAGGCACTCTACCACAGAGCTATAGATCCAGAATCCCTGCATGTGTCCCTGCAGGTCAGAAGAGGGCACCAGATCTCATTACAAGTGGTTGTGAGCCACCAAATGGTTGCTGGGAATTGAACTCAGAACCTCCAGAAGAGCAGTCAGAGCTCTTAACCGCTGAGCCATCTCTCCAGCCCCTGTTTTTGGATTTTTATGTGAGGTGCATGCTCTATTTCAGCTATCTCAAGGACAAATAATGGATTGGATGAGAAGGCTTTAGTTTGCCAGTGAAGTCATGGTTTCAGCCTAGGTGGCTTTTGGGCAAAGTGAAGAGGAACACTCTTTCATATGATCTCATTTTTCACTGAACACATTTTGAGTGTCCACTTCCTGTGCCGTTTTAAGGACATGAACCAATATTGTGTGGTTTACTGTTCAAAGGGGTTCCAGAAAACAGCATGCATGGATGAAGGTTATAGATGTGTGCAAAGACTCAGCAAACACAGAATCAAATCCGTCTCAGATATCCAGGTGCATATGCCGAGCCGGGAGAGGTTCCCCCCAGAACATGTAGAGAAGGTTGGGCTGGGTGAGATATATGCATAGGGAAGCAGTGTCAACCCCCAAAAGATGGCACTGTAGTCTAGTGCTACACTTCAAGTGACCTGAGGTGTCGTAGAGCACTGTCCTCTTGGCATGGCATGGCTGTTGTCCAACTATACTCTCAGCAGCTAAGAGAACATGAGATTCACACAAGACTGGGCCCGTTAACATCAGTAACAGAGGAGGAGGGTTTCACACAGCTCTGGCCCTCCCCAAGGATAAGTACATAGGCAGGTGCTGGTTGCTGGGAGAGAGGCTTTTCTTTAGTGGTGTAGCTGCCCATAAGTTGAAAGCGTTCCTGTACGTAAACCATTACCCAGGCTCCTGATTAAATTCATTGGCTTACCAAGCTAGACTTGGCTAAGACTGTTTCTTCAGTCTGTGGTTGGTGCCCTATCTGGGATGAACAGACATCTGTTCATTCTTCTCAGGAAAGGCCACACAACATGGGAAACTCCATTCTCCTCGGAACTGACCTTAACAGTTATAGGACAAAGATAGGTCTTAAGGGGTGTGGTCTATGTGGCTCTAACATTCAAATACTCCTATCCCATAATCTATAAGGCTTTTGGGGGAGTAGGGTGAGACAGCCTGGCTGTACTGGAACGCTCTAGGTAGACCAGGCTGGTCTCAAACTCAGAGATCGACTTGCCTCTGCCTCTTGAGTGTTGGGATTAAAGGTGTGCGCCACCACACCTGGTTTTAGGGGCTCTTAATGTCTCAAAGTGTCCTCCACTAGAACAGGTGCCTGCAAAAGTGAAGTCTCCCTGCTTGTCAGAAAGGACAGTACGGATTAGGTAAGGGACCCAAGAGGATGACTTCTAGATTTCCCCCAAGTTGGATCCTATTTTTCCAAGTTCAGTGAATATTGTTCCCAATTAGCCATCCTTTTGAATTACTAACTTCTAGCTTTTTCTTCTGACTCATGAAAAAAAAAAAAAGACTCTGATATTTGCCAGGCAAATGGTTTAAGTTGAATTCTTGGGAGGAGCTGGAGCCGTCAGGTCTGTAGAGATGTGCGTTTGGGTGAGATGAGTTGGACAAAGCCCCAATGTGTTTCTGCATCGGTTTCCTTATCTGTAAAACATACTTGTATCAAGGATGTAGTAATTATTCTTATTTTCTGTGTAGGAAATCCAAAGCTCTAAAAAGTTAATTTGTTCAGGCATTCCCTTTGGAAACTCGTCAAGATTCAGGCTGATTCCCGAGTTGGAGTTTGTAATTGCTGATGGATCACTATTGGGGTGGAAGAGTACAGGATGGAGGGGGAGATACACCATCATATTAATATTGATGTCCACTATTAGATGTTCCCCGGTACCCAATGTGTCAAAAGGAAACTGCATGTTAGTACGAAAGAAAAGGAACGCAGTATTGAAGGTTAGCAGGAAGCACAAGGAAGTCAGCCAGTCTACCCCCTCTTCCTCCCTTCCTCCCTCTCCCTCTCTCCCTGCCTCTGGAAGGCTCGAAGAGGCAGAATCGCCACGTTAGCGCAGGTCTGCAGCGCCCACCCCCATCGAGGACGCCCAGCACCCCCTCTGCAGGCCGCCACCGCATCTCCCTGCCCCCCAGCAGCCTCGGCTTGGAAGAGGAAGGAGGACTGCAGCGGTTGCCACGCTTTATGCTTCTCCAGAGCTTCGAAGCAAGATTTCCCCAAAAAGCCATATTAAATAAATAAAAGGAAATTCAGCAGATGGGAACATGAATCAATGAAAACTCCCATATGAGTGCGAAGATTTATGTCAAAAAACAAAACATCAACATCTGGGAGCTGCCATCTCCTCTTGGTTGTTCGTTTAGAATGGATTCTTGGTGTCGTTTTCTCCATCTTTCAGGCTGTGAGAGAAAGCAGGGGGAAAAAAAAAAGAATAGAAACCCATTTTAAAATAGTCGCTTTAAATCAAAAACGAAAGCCCGCTTCCCACCGCACCCCCTACGCCCCAGGACAGAGGGGATGTGATGCAGGCGACCGGGCTGTGGGCTAGCTCCGGCAGCCTGGGACCGAGAGCCCCCTGCCGGACGCCGCGGGGCGACCCCGCCACCGGACCGGGGCAGCTCGCGGCTGCAGCCCGCACAGCGGCGGCGACAGCGCGCGTGCACACGCACTAGCGTCCTCCGCACTGCGGTCGCGTCCCACGCGGGTGGAAGTCCAGGTCGGCGATTCTGTGACAGCTTCTCCAGGTCAACCCCGCAGCCAGGGAGCTCATGCCTGACCTGCCGGGGCCAGGGCTGCTGAGGAGTGCGGTCGAGATGTTCATTTAGCTCTTTGGCTGGACCACCCAAGGGTTAGGAGAGAAGGTGCTGGGTCCCCGATGTCTGGATTCAAATCCTAGCTACTACAGCCTGCTGATCGCCTTTGAGCAGATTTACCTTACTGAGGCAGCGTGGGAATAACGGTAACAGGCTCCTAGAGGACTGTGGGTGGTAAACGACAAAAGCACACAAGGTGCTTAGCACAGTATACATATACACAAAATTGAATAAATGTGAGCTATTATCATTAGGACAGAGGCGTACATCTCTCCTTGTGGATCTGCAGGATGCAGCTCTGCAGCCTTGTAGAGGTCTTGACCCATCCCATCGCTCGGCTACAGCTGTGCTAACCTTATCTTTTGCCCAACAGCCCGGTTCCCTTCTGCCTGAGGCCTTCTGTGGAAGGTTCTTTTTCATCTTCTGCTTCAATACAGCCTACCCTTCACATCACCCAGGAAACTCTTACTGCCTCCCCCGTTCCCAAAATGTGCTCTGTTCTAGCCTGGGCTTCTCCTTCCTTGCAAGGTTCCTGGATGAAATGTATCCTTAACTTGGTTATATGCTTAATGTCCATAAATCTGGTATTTTGCTCCATAATGTCAGTAGCCCAATCTATTGTGGTCCTTGCAGTATTCTTGGCCCCCAGGCCAAGCCAGTGACAATAGATTCTTGAAGTGCAGTAAAAGACCAGAGTGGAAGGTGGGCCACTAAAACCAGATGGAATTCTGAGGACAGGATGACTCCTCTCCAACCACTCCCCTTCTATCTCTCTCCTCCTCCCTCCTCTCCCCCCTCCTCCCAACTCCTCTTCCTCCACCTCCTCTTCTTCAGACAGGGTCTCACTGCGTAAACCAGGCTAGCCTAGAATTTACAGAGAGCTGCCTGCCTCTGCCTCCAGAGTGCTGGAATGAAATGCGCACACCACTATTCCTGGCTTCTTTTTCTTCGCTGCCTGTGTGTATGTGCACCATGTGGGAGTCTGGTGCCCCTGGGGGCCAGAAGAATGTGTCAGATACCCTGGAGTTGTGAAGTTGTGGGAGCTTGGAACCAAATCCAGGTCTTCTGCAAAGGCAGCTCGTACTCCGAACTGCCGAGCCACTCCAGTCTCCGTCTTCTGGGTCTTCTTTTACGGCCTCACCAACTCCTTCCCACAGTGAATTCATATTCCTATTGTCCAACAGGCCAGGCCCTGTGCTGGGCACCAAGAACACAGACACATGCAATGTTATCTTGGACCTAGTGGTGCCCTGGCCTAAAGGTGGAGATGGACATGTGAACACAGGGCAACACAGATGGGAGGGAGAGAGACAGCAGAGTGCTGAGGCAGGGGGCTAGCTGTTCCATAGGAACAGGGCGGGGACCGGAGAGATGCTTAGCAGCTGGGAGCACCGGCTGCTCTTCCAGAGGAATTCAACTCCCAGCATGCACATGGCAGCTCACGACTGTCCAGGAGATCTGACACCTTCACACCAACGTACATAAAATAAATACAATTTAAAAAGAGAGAAAGAACAAGAACAGGGCCCTCGGCTCCAGGAGGCAGAGGTGGACCAAGCTGAGTGCCTTCTCTGCATTATCATAGCAAAGCTCAGGGCCAATATGAAGGTCTATCATTAGCCCTGCTGCACAGATGAAGCATAACGGAGTTAAGTCGCCCAGGGCCACAAAGATAGTAATGGCAGCAGAGGGATTGAAATGGGCGGGTTCTGACTCAGAGCCAGAGCTGTGAACTACTTAGCCATGCTGCCTGGGAGCAAACAGCTGTGAGGCTGCTCCACCCCCAGTTCTGTGCCGGTAGGAGTGGGAGCTGCAGTCCAGAGGCAGGGGAGCCACCACCCAGGAGCAGGAGGGGAGAGCACGGTTGTTGGACCCAAGGAAGCCAGACACCCTGCTCCCACATAGAGCCTAATGAGAAATGCTCTCAAGGGTGCAGAGAGGACCTACAAGTGCTCAGCAGAATCGGGAGCACCTCTGGCTTCTGGCTGCCAGCCCTTGGGGAAGGCCCCAGTCTGAGCCTGGCACACTGCCCTGAGGGTGCTGCTCTCACCTCTCACCTCCTGCAGGCGCTGCAGATCTTGCTACATCTCTCAGCATCCCCAGCTTGTTAAAGACTGGATTCGCATCCTCTATGCTGCTCTTCAACGGCAGCCACACCTAGATCCACAGGCTTTGGGAGCAGGGAGGGAATCCTGCTTCAGGGTCTTCTGAGCTGAGGCCTGGCTCAAGCCAGACAGGGGTTTCTTCAAGGAGCTGATGAGATCACCCAGCTTTTTCAAATTTCCCCATCCCCCAGCACTCCGAAGCCTGCATCCTCCTCCATATCTGAAATTCCTTTATTTCCTTAAATCACATTTATTGTGTGAGTGTGCACACCATAACACATGCAGCAAGGTCAGAGGGTAGCTTGTAGGAGTAGCTTCTCTCTTTCTACCTCGTGGGTCCCAGGGATAGAATCCTGCTTGTAAGGTTTGGTGGCAAGAGTTTTTACCTGCTGAGCCCTCTTGCCAGCCTTTATTTCTTACTTTAAAAAGAAATATTTTAGGGGCTGGAGAGATGGCTCAGTGGTTGAGAGCACCAGCTGCTCTTCCAGAGGATCGAGATTCAATTCCCAACACCCACATATCAACTCACAGCTGTCTATAGCTCCAGTTCCAGGGGGGTCCAAAGCCCTCACACAGACACACATGCAGGCAAAACACCAATGTACATAAAATAAAAACAAATCATTAAAAAATTTTACATAGATTTATTTTATGTATATGAGTATTTTGCCCTTACGTATGTCTATGTGCCAGAGTGTTACGGATGATTGTGAGCCACCATGTGGGTGCTGGGAACTGAACCTGGGTCCTCTGTAGAAATGAGTGCTCTTAACTGCTGAGCCATCTTTCCAGCCCTCCTCCCCTCTTAAAATTAAGATAGAGTCTCATGTAGCCAGTCTAGCCTTGAATTTGCTATGTAGTGGAGGACAAGATGGAACTTGGGACCCTCATGCCTCCACCTCCCAAGTGCTTGCGTCACAGGTATGAGATACCTCACTCAGTTTTATTCAGTGCTGAGGAGTGAACTCAGCTTTGTGCATGCTACCAAGCATTCTACCAGTTGAGCCACATGCCCAGCCTCAGGTATCTGGAGAACTCTGAAAGGTGGATCTGAGGTTGCAGCAGAACTTCTAACCGAAGTAGCTAGAAGGTGGGCTCGGACTGACAGGCAGGAAAGAGAACAATGGCAAGACTGACCCTTGTCACCATTCACTGAGGCCTTCCTGTGTGCCAATCACTGTACTAAGGACCCCATTTCACAGAAACAAAGGCAGCGGAGGAAAGCTAACAAGGTGGGGACATCTCAGGGGAAGTTGGACAGACACATTCAAGCACCTGATGCAAGAGGGTGATTTCTGCACGACCTGGGGATCAGCTAGGTGTGGGAGTGTCTGACACCTTTGGGGTGTCTGTACAGATCACAAGAAACCCATAAGGCAGTCTGTGGAGGGGCTCACTCGGTTGGCTCCTGAACCCACATTTTTTATCTTTCTTAGGCTCCGGCTATTGGTACTCCTTAGGTCCCCACCCCCACCCCTCCAGATTCTGATGCAACAGATGCTAGCTTCGGTGAGTTTTCAGTATTTACAATGACAGTCCAAACTAACATGAGGAGGACTGGAGAAGGGAGCTGATCCAATCTGGAGTTCAAGGCTGCTTTCCTGGATCACTTGGAGAAACACAGAAATAGGGAAGCGGGATGGTGAGTCTTTGTAGGTAAGATTGAAGGAGTAATGTGGCCAACCCAGTCAAATACTCTGGGTCCAAATGTACCCTGGCGGCTAATGAGATGGGCTCTGAGGGCCCTAGTGCCCAGTGCAGCAGACAGACAGAGATGGAAGTGGATGACAAGGCTGAAGTCAGGGATTCCTACAGAAACAAGAGGCAGCATTCGTGTTGAGAAATGTGGGGGTGGAGACAAAGAAACAGACTGATAACTGAAGAAGCAGGAGGACCAGCTAAAAGACTTGACCAAGATAGGAAAGACCCGTGCACATTTCATTGGCAGAAAGCAAAGACTCAGTGAAGAGATGAAGGCTTTGATATGAGGATCAGGATACTTACAGTGGCAAGGTTGTAGAAGAGACAGGAGAGGGATGGGACTAAGAACAAACAGTTGGGCTTAGAACAAAGGAGAAGCTCAAACTTCTCCAACTGGGTCTGGGTTCTTGTCACGTCCTCCAAGTCACAACTGTGCCCTGTATTTATTTGTATGGTGTGTGACTAATGTCCAGGTATGTTCACAGTGGCTCTCAAGTTCTCTTCTCCTCCTCCTCCTCCATCATCATCATATGTAGTCCCCACTCACTGATCACCATCATCATCACCGTCACATGTAGTCACCACTCATTGATCATCATTATCATCACCATGATATGTAGTCCCCATCATTGATGGTCATCATCATCACTGTCACATGGAGTCCCCACTCATTGATGGTCATAATCATCATCATCACCATCATATGTAGTCCCCAGTCATTGATGGTCATCATCATCACTGTCACATGGAGTCCCCACTCACTGATCATCATCACTGACACATGGAGTCCCCACTCATTGATGGTCATCATCCTCACTGTCACATGGAGTCCCCACTCACTGATCATCATCCTCACCGTCACATGGAGTCCCCACTCATTGTGTTTTCTCATAAGGGTACTACTTTCCTTAGTCCCATGATGCAGATAAGAGAACTAAGGGAAAGGATAATAATTAACCTGTCCAAGATAACCAGGCAGTCAGTGGGAGCACTGTGTTGATGTCACACAACTCCTGCTCTTCTGCGCTGCTTCCTGACACTTCAAAGAGTTGAAAATGGCCGCCCCCAGGGAGCCGGACTGGAGGGTAGGGAGCATGTAGCAGAGGTCTGCTGCATTTTGATATAACCCTTTAGTACTATTTGACTTTTTACTAGAGTAGAAACTCTTTTAACGACCTTCTTTGCCCTCTTCTACATTACCTTTTCATTGGTAATGAAAAGATAATTTCAATTTCATATATCTTTTTATCTGAGAGGTCAATGGCATGCTCCTTGCTCCTTGCCAGCAGGTTCTTCCTCAGCACACTTCACACCCAAGTATAAATTGTTTAACCACCTGACCAACCCCATGTCCAGGTTCCTACCAGGCAGCAGGTTTCTGACAAAATGTTCTTTTAAAAATAAATGAAACAAAACAAAACATTTGTAAAAAGGAGTTTGCATTAGAAAAAAAATCCACCTAGTAAAAAGCAAAAAGAACTAATACCAATGTTGAGGTAATGACTCAGCCTTCTCAGTGACAAATGTGAGGTTGCTGGCTGAGAAAGGACAGGGTGACAATGAGGACTTGACCTCTTTCCTGGACCCAATCGATCCCACACAGCGGGTACACGGGTGTGCGTGTGTGTGTGCGTGTGTGTGCGCGCGTGCGTGCGTGTGTGTGCGCGCGCACACGCGCGCCCCTAGTCCTTACCATACTTTTTTTTTTTTTTCTTGAGATAGGGTCTCATGCCTCCTAAGCTGACCTCCAATCTGCTATGTATCTGAAATTGACCTTGAATTTCTGATCCTCTTGATTCCACTTCCCTAGGGCTGGGACTCCAGGCATGAACCACCATGCCTTGTTTATGAAGTCCTGGGGGAACTGAGCACAGGTCTTAATGCATTCTAGGCAAGCACTCTTCCAATTGAGCTACATTCCCTCACCCCAGCTCTATCTCTGGCCCTTCTTCACTCAGTTTCGAAAGAAGTCAACCCATGCAGACTGGATACATGGTTTAGTGGGTAAGAGAGTTTGCTGTGCTGGCATGAGGACCTGAGTTCAGACCTCCAGCACCCATGTACATAGCTGTGCATGGCTATGCATGCATGTAACAGTTCCAATGTGGGGATGGTGACAGAGACAAGCAGATCCTGCTTGCTTGTTGGCCAGCCAGCCTACCCAAACGGGAAGCTTCTGGGTTAGTGAAAGACCCCGTCTTACAGGAATAAGGTAGAGTGTGATAAAGGAAGACACTCCATGTCATTCTATGGCCTCTGAATGCATGTGCCTGGGAACACATACCCACCTGCATGCATACATACAGCAGGAGGAGGAGGAGGAAGAGAAGAAAGCAGGAAAAGAAGAAAAAAAAGAGGAGGAAAGCTGTTATTGTTGTAATTGTCATCTATATGGAGCTCCTGCACAGTCCCTACTGTAGATCCTGCGAGTCTCCAAAGAACCACACTTTCCCAGTCACGCTCTGGGGTCTCCCCTCCCACACTAATTTGGGGCTGGCCTCCCAACTTGCTTTAACCAACAGAGCGCAGAAGGGAAACAGTGCAGGTTCCAGGCCTCATTTTTGAGGGGCCTGGCAGGTCTACTCTTAGACACTCTGAGCCACTGTGTAAGAAGCTCAGCTGCCCAGATGGGGAGGCCGCGTGGAGTCGAGAGGCCCTGAGACTACATGCAGAAGACGCCCAGCCTTTCGGTGGCTCCGGTTGTCTTCATGACTTCTGTTCCAGCTGCCATCTAACTACAACCTCATGAGACTTCAAGTGAGAGCAGCAGTATTGCCCAGCTGAGTCCCACCCATTTACAGAACCAAAGGAAATAATGACAGTTTTAAGCCACCAAGATCTGGAGTGTTTGCTATGCTGCAATAAATAACTAAATGCCATTCTGTATTTTAATTGCCTACTGGCTTTGTTCGCCCTACTACATCACTTCCTCAGTGAGGGCAGGGTTTTGTTATAATTCTTCTTTATTCTTGGGGATTTCATACATATATACAATGAAATATGATTGCGTACACTTATACATACACACCCCCACTTCCCTCTCCAACTTCCTCTGGATCTCTCCAACACATCTCCTTCTCAACTTCAAGTCTTCCTTTTCCTTTGATAGCACATAAAGTTATATCAGCTGCCCATATGTGCGTGGATGTGGGGCCATCCCCTGGAGCGTGGGAAACCCGCCCGCCAGCAGCCACATCCTCAAACAACAATTTTCCCTCTCCCAGAAGATATCAACTGCCAACAGCTCCTTAAATATGGGGTGGGGCCTGGAGAGCACCTCTCAACAGTATCAGAATTTTAGCTGGCTTGATTTTGTGCAGGGAACCACAACTGCCGTGAGTTCACAAGTGAGAGCCATGCCATGTCCTGAAGACAGCTTTCACAGCACCCCTCCTCACCCTCTAGCTCTTATATTCTGCCTCCTCTTCGAAAGTCTTCCTTAAGTCTTGGAGGTTGGAAGATGATCATTATTTAGGGCTGAGCGCTCAGTCACTTCTCAGCACTTGGGTCCGTTTTTATCTCTGCACTGACTGCTGCCCACTGCAAAAACAAGCTGCTTTGACCTGTTTTGCTGTTTTGAGTCAGGATCTCGTAGGCTGCCTATATCACACTATGTAGACTATGCTGCCCTCAAACTCATGACAATCCTCCTCCCTCAGCCTCCTGAGTACTGGGATTATAGGCATATGCCACTATACTGGGCCACATCCATTTTTTTTAAAAGTTGTTAAGTACTCTAGGCATTCTCTAACACTGAATAAACTCTCATAAACTTGACTAGTATAAATTTAAAATGTCTCCAAAAATAAAGGCAACAACCAATGTCTACCCTACCCCTGTTGTAAGAACACATTAGCTTGAATACACATCACAAGAAGTGATTTACTAGGTACCTAGACAATAGGTTCTTAATGAAAACAGCTGGCCTTTGTAAAAGGATTGAATCAACTTGACTTTGGGCCATAATCCAAAAACAGACTGTGACAGCCAAGAAGAAAATGGCTGATGGCTTCAGGCCTTGGCATCTCTAGTAAAGACAAAAGTCAGTATCATCCCAACAGTGTTACCGTGGTTTGCCCTAACAACAGAATGGATGGGAGGATTCCAGTTACCTCCACACTACCTCTCATTCAAGTAGTCTCTGTATATTCCCAAGATTCTGGGGGAAAATGTTCCTTCTTTCCTCTTCCTCCTTGACAGTGTCTTACGAGGCATCTGATTGGTTCTGAACTCACGATCCATTGGCTTCAATCAACCACATGCTAGGATGATGGGTGTGTGCCACCACCCCCGGCGATAATGCCATTTTGTGTATGGGGGCAGATACCTTATTCTCTCTTTCAAACCCCTTTAACTAACTTCAAACAGGCCAGGACCTCAATGAATGTACGTGGAATGAACACATTTTTGCTCAAATCAGTCATCCCATGATAAGGGTCTGGTGCTTTTGGCTATGTGCAGTTAAGAGACATTGTGGAAATATATTTTGTGGGCTGACAGCATGTGTTAAGCCCCATGTGGGACACAAAATGGGAAGATGCCACCCCTCCCCTGAGGGACGGAACTGGGTACACTTACACAGACGAGATAATTAAATAACAGGACAACATATAATCACTGCTAAACTGTGCAGTAAAAATTAAGCACTACAGGGATTGGGAAAAGCAGAGAATTAAGTGGCGAGGGCTCCACCAGTTAGGGAGTCTTCACTGCGGCCCTGAGATCAGGCTGAGCCTTGAGGAAGAAAGCCAACTGCAGACAGGCTGAGAGGAAAGAGGGCCCAGAAGTCCCCGGAGGAACAGAGCCAACCCAGCACACTTGAGGTTTTATTTCAGGCAGCACATGGGCTATGAAAGGTGGCTGTCCCTACTCCCCACGCGAGAACACTTCTGAACAGTTCCCCGTATGCAGGCTCCTGGAGCTTATGTGGATTCCTCTGCTTGCAACGTCCTTCCCCTTCTCTATCTGATAAACTTCCTTGTGTTTTTAAAGCCCAATTCAAAATGCAAACCACATGGATGAATCCTTCCATGATATATTCCCTACCCACTGCTCATGCTTCTATTAAAATATAATTTACAGTTCCCTGCTTACCTCCTCCACTACTATAATTAATACTAATTTATATTTCTTGTACCAGAACCTATACTAAACACATATGTTGTTTTGAATCTCACAATTACGTGAGGTATTGTTTTCCCTATTTTACAGACAACAGGCTAAGTGTGCTTAAAAACCCTGCAAAGTAGCACAGGCCTTTAATCCCAGAGGCAGGCAGATCTCTGAGTTTGAGGACAGCCTGGTCTACAGAGCAAGTTCCAGGCCAGCCAGGGCTACACAGAGAAATACTGTCTCAAAAAAAAAAAAATCAATAATAGTAATAATAATAAAATTAGCAAATGTTGCCGGGCAGTAGTGGCCCACGCCTTTAATCCCAGCACTCGGGAGGCAGAGCCAGGTGCCTGGCTCTGAGTTCAAGGCCAGCCTGGGCTACAGAGCAAGATCCAGGACAGGCACCAAAAACTACACAGAGAAACCCTATTTCGAAAAACAAAAAAAAAAAAAAAAAAAGCAAGAAATGTTAAATTTTCTACAGAGTGAGTTCTAGGACAGCCAGGGCTACACAGAAAAATCCTGTCTTGAAAAATCAAAACCAAAACCAAACAAAAAACACCCTGCAAAAGACCACAAAGTTAGAAAATCAGAAAGCTGGTATTCAAAGCATTATTTGTGGAACTACAGCCCATTTGCTTTTTGTCAGTGCTAGAGATTGAACTTGGCCTCGTGCAGGACAGGCCTGGCATCAGACACGGAGTCCTAAGTTCAGCCCTACTGACTTCGTTCTTGCTCTTTCTGAGGCAAAGTCTCACTCTATAGCCCAGAAGAGCCCAGACCTCATTATATCTTGAATCTGTGATCCTCCTACCTCAGCCCCCAGTACTAGAACTACAGGCCTATGTCCCCAGGCCTATCTCAGAGTCTACTCCTTTTTTATTTATTTATTGAAACCAGACCTCATGTAGCCCAGGCTGGCCTAGACCTATGTAACTGAGGATGCCCTTGAACTACTGATCCTCCTGCCTCCACTTCTAAAGCCTTAATGTCACCTACTCCAGTCTACTCTTAATGTACTGGAGCCATGTATTTTTGGAGGCCACAAATGCTCTTTATCAATCTGTCTTCTCAGATCCTAGAATGGTGGCTGGCATATGGCTGGAGATCGTTTAACAGATAAACACAACTTTCCTACCACATGCCTGGGTCTAATCGTAGGTACACCCAGTACTCTTATCCCAGAGACTTCCACCCACCTAAAAGTCACATATTTGGGGGAAGGAGGAAGGAAGTCTGAACACCCCCCCCCCAATAGAACTCCAGAGCAGTGAAAGTGGGACCAGTTTACAAAAAAACTAACACTGGCTGAAACTGAACTGGAAGGCTCTGACTGACCAGGGCCTGTGAATCCTTAAGTATTTTGAAAGGAGCAGCTACTCAAAAGCCTCAGCCTGTCACATGAGGAAAAAAGTAGGGCCGATTGCTCCAGCTGACCCGATCCTTGCACAGGGGACCAGACGACAGTGTATCAGCAGTGAGGGGACAGGAAAACAGCACCACGCTGTTACCTTCAGCAGCCTGAGCTCTCCTAATGTTAGGGACTTTGACCAGTCCAAACCAGGATTCCTGGCTTAGAGGATGAAAAGAATTTCAGGACTAGCCACTATGATGAAGAGGATCTGGGATTGTATTAAAGATAACTTTAACATGGGCATAAGCATGAGGCTTAGAAGGCGCACAGGGAAACACAGAAAGGCAATACCCAAGTATGGACTCCTCGAGGGGGACTCGCAATTCTCTTCGTATTAGCCATATATATCTTTGGTGGTTAAATTACATCTCAAAAGGTTGCGACGAACCACCCCACTTCTCTCTCTTTTGTTAAGTGAATTTATAGGGTGGTTCCTTGGATGGAATTACAACCTGATAAAGTAAAATCAGATGCCAACTGGGGTTGCGCAAGAGGTTTAGTACATGTCCTTTGCCTGTAAACTGGGTTTCTGGCGAGATTACTAGAGAAACAACTGCTTATGGCTGAGAAGGGAGAAAAGGGGCCTTTAACAACTGTTAGCTGCGCTGTGCTGGAATTCCTGCCCGGTCGCTGGCGAGGATTTCCTTTGCCTTTTCAATCCTGCCTCAGAAAGCGACCAGCCTAAAGGTAAAGAGATAAAACCGGGCTAGAAGCTGGAGGCAAACCCTGCCCTGGTTACTTCGGTCCACCGACCAGCCGCCACTCGCATCCGCGCACCTCCGCGGCTCCTGCGATGGCGACAGAGGACACCTCGGCCCTGGCCCCACATCACGTCCTTGTCGATCTCACCTCGCCAGCGCCAAGCCCGCCCCTTCCACCACTTCCTCCCGAGAGCACCATCCTTCCGGCAGGGCGCCTTGCTGATTGGCTGGCTGGGGACTCGGCCTCTGGGGACTGCGCAGCGGCCGCGCTGGCCCCTGTCCGGTCCTTCGGCCTTGCTCTCTCGGCCGCGAGCTCTCTATGGTGCTGGCCGCGACATGTGGCGCCTGGCAGGGCTCCTGGGGCGAGGTAAGGGTCACCTGCAAGGCGAGTTCCAGCAGGCCATGGCCTTGGAACTGCAACGCGCCGCACTCCGCGGGAAGACAGCCCCGAGCGGCAGTAGGTGGGGTTAGGAGCAGGGAAGGCGGAGCGTAGGGGGCGAGTCGGGAGCCCTTGGAATTTGAGACGTGGTAGGGCAAAGTGGGGAGAAGGTGGAGCTTAAAGCCAAGGAGATGGGTGGAGCTCTAGAAGGGGAGGAGTCAATAAAAGAAAGCCAATGGAAAGAGGAGGAATTTAGAGACTCGTGCTCAGTATCGTGAGAATGTGTGTCTGCAGATTTATGGTTCTAGAACAGCAGTTGTCACTCATAGGAGAGTGTTGGAACTCCGCGAGAATCTTTTCAAAATAAACATGCTTCATTCTGAGGGGTCTGACTTTATTAGTTGTGGGGGTGGTACCTTGGGAGTCCTACTACCCTAAAGATTTCTGTCTTGTACCCTAGTTTAAGAACCTCTGCAAGGTTCTCAATAGTAGAGGGCTTGACTAGAATGCTGGAGGATGGAGTTCCATCCTCAGCACCAGAAAAACAAAACCACTGCACAGATAGATGTCAGTGATTCCTGGGTTCCTGGGGTAAGGCGCCCTCACAGACTAGAAGGAAGATTGTTGAAGCCATCTTTATTTCAGCCCATTGCTGTTGGTGTGACTGATCCTTCTTGCTCCCACAGTTCTTCCCCGCCTACTGGGACCTGGCTTCCGAGGAGTAACACCCAGGCCCACCAGTTCAGATGGGCCTCAGACAACCTTCACTACCCCGCTGCTTCCTAAATCCAACCTTGACAAGTGAGAGAGAGACTTAACATTCTGTCACATGTGGCCTCCTGCTCCCATTTTGTACAGAACTTAACAGCCTCTAATTGTAATTTAGGTCAGGTTCCTATGGTCCAAGGAGGAACAGAGACCCAAAGTGCCATAGGTGGAAAGATGCCTTCCACTGGATGTCTGCTCCTGTCTCCCCAAACACTCTTCGGGATGCCGTCTCATGGGTAAGGCTTCCCCAGCCCTGTCCTGTACCTTCAGCATAGAGGAGAATGATCTTTCATGGGAGAACATCGTAGTGTAGAAACAAGGGCATGATCATATCTACATGGTGAGGTCTTCAACCCTAAGCATGTTCATGGAAACATTGCCATCCCTCCAGCCTCTGCCATGAATTTATTCTTCTCCATTTGGTTTTATTTATTTAACACGTTTGAGCTAAGCACTAGGGACAGAGCAGAGAACAAGCAAGACATAATTCTTGCCTTCGTGGAGCTTAGCATAAATGATAATAAATTGATAAACAGCATGACTTACCAACATGAACTCTTATGCACACATGATCTTGTTTAATATCTGCAAAAATCTTACAAGGGGAATTTAACCTTCATTTCCTAGACAAGGACACTCAGTCTTTGAACATCAGTAATATACCTGAAGTCACATGGTTCTTAAGTAGAGCAACCAGATTTTGCTGGCCTGACATTCAAGCTGTACCACATGGTTGCTTTACCTAGGATATCTTGTAGAAACACCTAATTCAGAGCCCAGTGCATAATATTTGCTCAGTAAATATTTGTTGAACCGATCTCTAAGGTCGGGGATGCATCACAAACATTAGGTGTCATAGGGCAGAATCTTGACCCCACAGGCAGTGTTCCATGTAGAGGTTCTGGCTGTACACTATTCTGAAGGAAATGGACACATATATCACTCTTGGGTCTGCCACATCCCAACCCGGTACTTCATGCTTGATACAGTAGGCAAGTGGCTTGACTCCTCTGAGCTTTGCTTTTTATGTTTGTTTGTTTTTGTTTTTCAAGGTAGCATTTCTCTGTGTAGCCTTGGCTGTTCTGGAACTTGCTCTGTAGACCAGGCTGGTCTCCAACTCTGCCTCTTGGGTAATGGGATTGAAGACAAGTGCCACCACCGCCCGGCCACATTTTTTTTTTAAACCTGTAATTTGGTGTCATCAGCAGAGCTGAACTTGTGATATCTCCATGACATAGGCATGGCTGTCTGGGTTTCTATGGACTGGAGGCAGATTATACCATAGAGAAGGGAATATTTTTCCATTTTGTCACAGAGCTGAGCCCTAGGTCAGTACTACATGGATTCCTTTAGGGACCTGGATCTAGATTTCAAGGGCCTGTTGTCATCTCTAGGTTCTGTCGCCACTACCCATGTGGAAGGGCCTGCACACAAACTCTCTCCAACACCGTTCACCTTATCTTTCTAGCGATGGCGCCTTGTCTTTCTTCCTTCTGGCTGCAGCCCAGTCATCATCCTAGCCCTCTTTCCTCTCAGGCTCTTTGTAACCCTCTGATCTGTTTTCTTCTTGGTGTTTCGAATAATCGCTAAGTTATTGTGTTTGTTTCTCTGTGTGTTTTGGGTTTTGTCTCTTTTAACAAAAGACACAAATGTCAGGAGGGCACAGGCGCTGTCTGTCTTAACTTGCTATTATGCATAGTTCCTATTGCAACAAAGAAGTATTGGGGTGTCTCCAGCACAGGAGGATAGGGGTGAGCAAGCAGCTCCTGGGATAGGGGCTAGCTCAGCTGTTCTGTGACACCTTTTCAAACTTCCACTTGTATGTGTGCACTCTTGTGGTTGGTTGGGGACTCTGACTTGTCCCTGTATTTTAGGCTAAGCTCCAACTTAACACAGCATCTTCTTGCCTGCTTAGACCCTTTTATTCTGTCACTTGCTGGCACATGCATTCAGCATGCATTTTTAAGGCACCTAGTCTCACGTAACACTGCCCTGGGCTCCAGGGATACCAGAATGTGCATGGTCCATGGGCCCTGCCTCTGTCGTGCTTACAAACTAAAAGGGAGTGACAGACCCTAAGTGAATGATGGAAAAGGATTACAGAACAGCAAAGGCCGGGTTCAAGTGCTGTGGAAGTACATGGTGCGGAGCTGCCCCAGTTAGTCCGGAAAGGTTCCCGGCAGATGATGATTGACAGGTGGGGGCGGGGTTCCTAACATGCTGCTTTCTTTCTCAGGGCACTCTGGCTGTGCTGGCCTTGCACCTGGCGAGGCAGATCCACTTCCACGCACCCTTGGTAGCAGGACCTCAGCCAGCTGACCGCTGCTCTTGGCACAATCCCCTGTACCGCTTCCTCTACTCTTCCTGGTGGCACCCACAGTCCTGTGAGTTCTCCATCCTCGGGGGGGGGGGGGCAACAGGGGCAGGCTGGGATTGTCTCTGGGCCAGGAAGTATCTCTGGCCCCACCTCAGGAAAAGAGCCATCGGCAGCCCCTGGCCTTTCCTATCTGAAGGCAGAGGAAGAGGAGTGTGGGGAAGGGCTGTCCACACTGGGTGTGGGCCATGCCTGCCCTCAATGCTCCTCAGTGTCCTTCTGTCACCTCCCAGAGAGGAAGCCCCCACACCTAGGCTACTTTAGACCCTGGGTGTGGCTTCCTGCCCACTCCTCAACCAGTTAGGTTCAGTCCAGCAGTCAGTCACTCATCAGTAACTGAAACTATTGAATGTATTCTGGGTTGTGTGCAGAAAGCATATAGCCACATGATCAAAGCTCTGGAGTCAGATTTTAAAAGCTCCAACCCATCAACTACTGCTTCCTAACTACTCTTGTGTTCCCTGAAGAAATCGGTTTCAGTCTCCCCATACCTCAGTTTCTTTATCCATAAAATGGGATGATAATAATAATGGGGTTCCTTGGGAAGACCAAATTAGTTAACATGGGTCAAGGACTTAGCTCAGTACCTAACACATAGTATGCGCTTGGTCATTGTCAGCTGCAGTATTAGTTCTTGTGTTAGCATTAAGCAGAAAGCTGGGTGCTGGGCTACAGTAGTGACTGAGGTAGGCACTCCCTGCCCCTGGGAGAATTCAAGCGATTTATGCTCAGGATGGGAGGTCAGCATAAGTATGGATCCCTGTAGAGCAGTGTTTCTCAACCTTCCTAATGCTACAGCTGCTTAACACAGTTCCTCATGTCGTGGTGACTCCCAACCATAAAATGTTTTGCTACTTCATCACTGTAATTTTGCTACTGTTATGAATCGTAACATAAAGATCTGTGTTTTCCCGATGGCCTCAAGCCACCCACGGGGGTCATGACCCCCAGGTTGAGAACTGCTGCTGTAGAGGAAGGCCAGCAAAGGAGCAGAAGAGGAACTGTGGGAGGGAGGTGTCTCAGGAGTTTCAGAGTTCTTCCTCTGGCCTCCCCAAGCCTCGGGGAGGACTGCTGGGCGAGGGCTCCCAGCCCCCAAAGAGCTGATCCCATTCTTTCTCACCTGACCTTCTTGTTGGCTCTCTCCAGCACTTCGGAGGCACGTTCTTCCCAGGCCTGACCACCCGACTCCTACGTACACTGGCCTCAGGGAACCAAGGCTGGGCCAGAAAGAGCCCTCAGCTCAGCCCCCGTCCTGTCCTTCTGACTGCTCCCTGAGAGCTGGCCTTCTGAACCTACCTGAAGAAGGTGTGACCTCACCTAATACCTACAGAGTGGAGATGGACCTAACACCCACAGGAGGGGGAGGGGGTGGATGGACCTAACACCCACAGGAGGGGGAGGGGGTAGATGGACCTAACACCCACAGGAGGGGGAGGGGGTAGATGGACCTAACACCCACAGGAGGGGGAGGGGCTGGTGGGTGGACTTTTGTTTTCTGTGTGCCCAGCTGTCACCCCTGTTTGGCCTCTTGCTTTCTGGGGTGACCGAGAGTCACTGACGTAGATAGGGCAGACTGGGAGAGAAAGGAATGGAGAAGTCATATCCTCTCCTCTCCCTGACTGCCAAGTGTTGGCCTTTCCCTTGCAGAGCTCAGTGACTTTGACTTCCTGCATGCCAGTGGGGACTTCACATCCCAGGCAAAGGCGAACGAGGCCTGCCCTCCTGGAGAAAAAAATGTATGGTCCAGGTTTGGTACCCTGGATGCCCACTCCACTCTTGGGGCTGGTGGAGATCCAAGTGAACCATCCCTTGATGCTGCCTTCTGTTTCTTCCCCAGGAACAAGACAAGTCCAAGGCTCTTCCCCTAGAGGAGGCTGTGACTTCCATCCAGGAACTCTTTCAGCTCAGTGTTGCCATCGCTTTCAACTTCCTGGGTACCTGGTCCCCTCCTCAAGGCAGGAGGATGAGGAAAGGGAATGGGGGGGGGGGTGGAATACAGTCAGAGTAGAGAGTGTTTATCCTCTCCCAGGTGGGTAGACCAGAGGGGTCCAGGATCCATCCTTACTCTTATTCGTTCAGCCAGTCTTAAAGCTAGCTGTCATCTTGAGTTCAGTATTAGTCATTCCAGCTCCTGCCTTCCTGTGTGTATTCTTGGCAGCTGGGAGGAGAGACTCAGCAAGCTAGAGGACCATTGCTTTCCTTCAAGGGCATGGCCTTGAAGTTGCCCTTTATAGAGGTACGTAAGCCACAAAGTAGGCTTATGGCCATCTGTTATAGAGGAGGCTGAGAAATGTAGTCTTCAGCTAAATGGCCATGTGCTTCTCTGAAAATCCTGTCCTGTGTAGGCATTAGAAAATTTTAGAGGACACCCAGCATTCTCTGCCAATCTTAGAAAAGAGCAGTCTCCTGCCATTTGCAGCGGGCCCCACGTGCATAATGGGAAGGAACCCTTATCAAATCTGCGAACTCCACATGACTTGGCTATTTGTCCTGGTTCTGTGGTGACTTGGCTCTTGTCTTGAACCATCTAAGATGGAACCCTGGATTCCCAGCAGTACTTGGTGGGGCCTCATAGTTGTGTGGGTGAGAGGCTGGAGTTCATTCAGAGCATATTTACTGATGTTCACCTTTCCCAGCACCTGCTCCGTGTCCTGGAGATACGGTGGTTCTTTACTCCCGTGGTGTTCACGTGTGAATTGAAGGATAGTAAACAGTAAACTGGCCAGATATAGTGGTGCACTCAGGAGGCAGAGACAGGCAGATCTCTGAGTTCAAGGCCAGCCTGGTCTACAGAGCAAATTCCAGGATAGCCAAGAGAAACCCTGTCTCAAAAAACAAAAAACAAATGAACAAACAGAATTTCAGATGATAAAAGTTATGAAGACATTGAACAAGGGGATGTTTCACTAACTTGGGCAAGGAACAACTTTTCATGTAGAAATACGCTGGAAGGGAGACCCTTGAGCTAAACCTAACTGACAAAGGCAAGCTATTTTTGTTCCCATCTGGAGAAAGAGCTCTCCAGCAGAGGGAGAAGCCAGAGCAAAGGTGCTGTGGCAGCACTGAGTTTTATTAGTTAAGGGACAAAGGAGAGGTGACTGTGGCTGGAACTTAGCGATCACAGAAAGGGATAGAAGGATGAAGTCAGAGAAACAGCCAGGAGCCAGCTCAGGTACAGACGGTCCTGTGAGCCCAGGAGAGTAGGGATTTCCTCCGTGAGACAGGAAGCCACTGGAGCAGGAAGAGGATGGTCATGTGATCTGACTTACTCTTCCAAAGATCTGTGTGGCTGTTTACAGACCAGCATGGATTGAGGGGGGCCGGAAGGGAGACGTGCGACCAGCAGGAATACTTACTGAGAACTAGGAGGATGTGATGAGGGCTTCGCTGTGGCTAGAGGCAGCAGAGACAGGAGGAGGAGAGGAATCCAGGTTGCTGGTGAGCAGGTCGGGGCTTCTGCCCATCACATCTCCTTCCCGAGGACAGAGGACTCAGTGAACTCTGGACAGTGGATTTTCAGGAGGCAGGACAGTGAGTCTAACTCCGCTTGCAGAATGGAATGTGGCTTTTTTGTGTGATTTTTGAGGGCAGACTCTTCTCAGAGCCCTCCTGCCCGTTCCCCCATTCATATATTCATTTATTCAGCAAGTGCTGAGCCCTGTGGCAGAGCACAAAGGCAGCACAAGCTATAATCATATTTTGCATTTATGTAGAATTTTCATCCCATGCAAAATTACTTCTCCGTTCTTGTTCTGCCTGCCTCGAGGATTTTACAGTATAATTGAGGAGACGGGGCTTATTCTTTTGTACCAGCTGTGTCCATAGACAAAGGTTTGGTATATTAGGAAAGTGCTCAAAAGAGTTGAAACCCCGAGTGTGGTCTGAAGGTTCTAGAGGAGAGACAATGGGAGGCCTGGTGATGGAGGCGGAACCCAGGGCTTCAGGCAGGAGCCAGTTTGAGCAGAGATGAAAACTGGCAAAGTTAGTCCTGCCTGTGCAGTTCCTGTTTCCTTAATGCCTGGGCAAAGCAGCGGGCCCTGACTTTGGAGTTTGATGTCAGCCAGGCATTGGCTGTCTTCTGCTAGAGCTTCCTCCTCGACCCGTAAGACTAGCTGAGCAAGATCGCCTGTGTGGTGCAAGTGCGCAGTGGAAACCCTCTCCAGCTGACATAAACCAAAGAATCTCTGGGCTCTCTTGACCTGTCCAGCCTCAGGGGGAATGGGGATCATGAAGCTCCAGAGACCCAGGGGCCAGCCGTCATAGTGTCTCAAGGTTGCTGCTGTCAGAACACTTAGAGTTCTTTTTTCTCATGAGAATCTTCTCAGCCTGATTAAGAATCACGCTCCTGACAAAGTCTCAGTGGTGGGGAAGAGCACAGGCATGTGATTGACAGCCCAGGGGAAGGGTTGTTCCCAAAGGGCAACCAGAACTATTAGCCAATAAGCAAGCACAGCCACCCCATCTCCGGCAGCAAACCTCCGACCCCCACCCCCATGTCTCTGGCACCAGTGAGCCAGCTGAGAAGTAAATGCAGCACACCTGTATCAGCACAAGACGAAGAGGGATTCTGGGAGGAGATGAGCAACCTGAGGGTCTGCTTGAGCATGTGGAAGGTCACAGTGGAAATGTGTTTGTGCTCCATGCTTTCTACAGGGACAGAGAACATGAAGACGGGGAACTACACAGCAGCCTTTTCTTACTTCCAGAAAGCCGCAGACCGTGGCTACAGCAAAGCGCAGTACAATGTGGGCTTGTGTCTCGAGCATGGCAGAGGCACCCCTAGGGACCTCAGCAAGGTACTGACCCATCCCCAGACCCAAGGAGCTCAAAAATGAATAGGGGCTAATCATTCATCTTCTGCCCCTGACTTCACTGGAGCCCAGCTGTGATTCCAAAGTAAATTTCCTAAATTATAGAAATGTACTCCAAACTCAGGCAGGGCAGGCATTTTGCTTTCTTTGCAACTGTACTCTCAGAGCCTAGATTACACCTTGATAAATAGATTAATTTTAAGATAAAAGGGTAAGTATGCAAGGGTGTCATTGTAAAATATTTTGTTGAGCCGTATGTGAAAGGAAAGGGGAAAATCAACTTGTTCTTTTATGTCTACAGGGCCTTAACAATGATATATCAGAGCTGTATTGACAGGGAAGATATTCATAATATAATGTTATGTCTCTTCCACTGTATGAGTGTATATTCATACATAAATATAATGTGTAGGGCTGGAGAGATGGCTCAGCAGTTAAGTGGACTAGCTGCTCTTTCAGAAGACCTGGGTTCAATTCCCAGGACCCACATGGCGGCTCACAACCACCTATAACTCCAGTTCTAGGGGATCTGACATCCTTTTTGGCCTCCACAGGCACTACACACATGTGGTGCACAGACATACATGCAGGCGAAACACCCATGTATACAAAATAAAAACAATAAAATAAAAATATATAATGTATACACATGTACACAAGCAAACATATGTAAATGTATACACAGTGTTGCAGTGTGTATAACATATCCATGGGTGGGGGGACTGGAAGCCTATACACTAAATTTTTACAAAGAATGATCTTAATTGAACATGGTAACACACACCTATAATTCCATCACTCTAGAGGCTGAGGCAGGAGGAATTCTACACATTTGAGGCCAATCTGGGCTATATAGGTAGTAACAGGCTGCAGGAACTCTATATCAAGACTCCTCTCAAAAAGACAATGGATCAAAAACACCAACAAAAAGTCCTAATGCTCTTTAGGAGGCAGGATATCTTGGGGTTTTACGTTTGTATTTTGGGTTTCTGTTTTTAAATTTGACTTAACAGCATTTACTTGACTAACCTATAATGATTATGTATTTATTTGAATGATTTTCATTCAAAGGAAGAGGCAAATTACCTGCAGACTGACTGTTTCTCGTTTCCCCAGGCTATCCTCTTTTATCGCCTGGCCGCCACCCAGGGCCACAGCCTGGCTCAGTACCGCTATGCCCGGTGCTTGTTGCAAAGTTCAGGCTCTTTGTCAGACCCTGAGGGGCAGAGGGCAGTGTCTATGTTGAAGCAGGCTGCAGACTCTGGCTTGACCGAGGTGAGGGCCACCGGCGGGGTCTGTTCTCAGTGAGGTATGCAGAGCCTGGAAGTGACTAAGATGCCCGTTTCCTTCCTCCCTGACAGGCCCAAGCGTTCCTTGGGGTGCTTTTCACCAAGGAGCCCCACCTGGATGAGCAGAGAGCCGTGAAATACCTATGGCTGGCAGCCAGCAATGGGGTGTGTATGAGATCTCTGGTCTGTGCATGTTGGGGATCAGGTCTGATAAGAAAAGGAATTGGGAACTGGTTCTGAGCTCTGGGCTCATGATATATTTTCCAGGAGCCTTGGGCTAGCCACGTCATGGCTCCTACTGTGTGACCTTGGACAGGGCCACTGGGATGCTGAGCTTAATGGGGATACCGCTTGGCTGCAGTGGAAATACTTGCTCTCAGACATTGTGAAGTGTGGCACAGCAGGCCTTCTCTCTGCCAGCCACCCAGCCTGTTGCTTGCTACACATTCACCACATATCGGGCCATCACTTCTTGATTCAGACCTGTTTTGTCACCTTTAAAACAAGCATAATAATCCCCACTTTAACTGTCTGCTGCTTCACAGGGTTAGTGGGAGCATCAGACCAAGGCGACAGGTGTGCGAGCTCTCTAAGCTGTACCCGTGACCAGTCATTGTGGTGGCCTGGGAAGTCAGACTCGTGAGAGAGGCATACTGGGTTGTCTGACCTGGGTGTGGGCATTCAAGTGGCATAGCCCAGTTCGTTCCACAGGGAATTGGTTCCATGGGATGTTGATGAGGAATGCCAGGGGAATGATTACTTGGACCTCAGGAGCACTAAGTGAAAAAAGTTGTTTTGCTTGTAGACAATCTCAGAGCTCTTTATCACTGTGAAATGCCAAGGTGATCTGTGGTTCACTGGATTCCCGTTGTACCTGGAAGGGTCCGGAATCCTGGATTGGAGCGGGCAGTGTGCACAGTGTCACTTCCCTGTGTAGGACACTGGAGCACTGTGTTGGGACACAGCCCCCTCTTCAACCTCTCGGGAACTGGGTTGGTGACTAGGGGCTTAGACTGCGTAGTGTCGTTAGGTCTTATGTCTGCCTGCTGCTACGTTCTGCCCTGCTGCAGCTCCAAGTCTGCTGTATTTATTACAGACTGGCCTTCATGTCACCTAAGAGGGAACAGAGTATGTAGCAGAAACTTGTGGCGCATAAAGGAGCAATGGGACCATGACCGCGGTTGGGAGTCTGTAGAATTTTTTTTTAAATTAATTTATTTATTTCTGTGTTATATGCATTGGTGTTTTGCTATGGAACTGGAACTGGAGTCACAGACAGCTGTGAGCCACCATGTGGGTGCTGGGAATTGAACCCAGGTCCTCTGGAAGAGCAGTCAGTGCTCTTAACCACTGAGCCATCTCTCCAGCCCTAGAATTTTTTTTTTTAATTGAGGGATTAAATATGATAAGAGGTCTCCAGTAAGGGAGGAGAGCTCAGTGGTGTGAGAAGGTGGAGGGGAGTCTGATGTTAGCGGCACTGTCCTGAGCACCTTTCATACAGACAGCCTGAGTAGGGAGTGCTTCTGTGACCCCTGTTCCGTAGGTGAGGAGACCGAGGCACCTGGGTTGGAAGCCAGGAAGGCTAGCCTGCACGCCAGGCTCTAATGCCTACTTGTTCTGTGGGCGTGCTGCAGTGAGGAGACAGAGCCCAGAGCCGCAGGCAAGGGGCGGAGCCCCTGAAGAAGACATGCTTGTGCTGTGGTTTCTGATTTACAGCCCTCTCAGGTGGAGTTAGGAAGGTGGACCTGTCTTTGGGAATACTCTGTACTCTGGCCTCTGTCAGAGGCCAAAGCTTACCTCCCGGTGTCCTTCCCATCTAGGGCCGAACCCTTCTGCAGTCGTTTTTCAGCCAGTCCCAGCAAGAGAAGCCTTCATAATGGTGGGGTGGAATCTCCTCAGGCAGAGGGACCTAACTCCTTGGCAAGCACTGGGCCTCTAGCACTTCACAGTTGAGGGGCTTGGAATGTGGCCGGCTGCACAGATAAAGGCTCAGTATACCCGCCTGACTCCACCTCACTCCTGGCTACGCATTCCAGTTCTTCCGTTTGTCTGTCTTCTCCTTTAGGACTCTCAGAGCAGATTCCACTTGGGAATATGCTACGAGCGGGGGCCTTGGCGTTCGGAGGAATCTGGGCGAGGCTGTGAAGTGCTACCAGCAGTCAGCAGCTCTGGGGAACAAACCCGCCCAGGAGAGGCTTCGGACCCTCTTTAATGTGGAGGCCGCAGGTAATGCAAGCCAAGGCCTGGTTCCTTCCAAGCTAATGCCCTGTGACAACAAAGGGTGGTAGCCCCCGGTCCCCTGGTCCGTCCTGGCCCCAGCTTTCAGAGCAAGGTAATCTTGTGCTTTGACCTCTGCTGTCACTGAGCTGGGCTCCACGCCTTTCAGCCTTGGTGTCTTCTCTGACAGAGGAGCAGTACAGCTTAAGTCCTTAGCTTGCTGTGAGCACTACATTTCAGGAAGACAACGGGCTTAGCACAGACAGTCCTGGTGGTGCCTGCCAGGAGTTGCAACATTTGGGATGCTAAGGCGTACGTTCCCGGGTTGGCTTGGGTAACACAGCCAGACACCGCCTTTCAAAATAAAGCAGAGCAGAGTCCAGCATACAGTAAGTATTCAGTAAACCAGTATGTGATGGCTGCTGTCATGATATTTTGGGAGAGCCAGTGTCTTGAGGCTGACCGAGGTACCTTTCTAGGCCTATGAGAGCCCTACTCACTTCTGAGTCACTGGGGCTGGGCCCCATGAGCAATGCCAGGGGAGAGCCAGGCCTTTAAGAAGTCCTGCTGCCAGGCATGGTGGCACACGTCTTTAATCCCAGCACTCGCAGCAGAGGCAGGGGGATCTCTGAGTTTAAGACCTGTATAGCCTACAGAGTGAGTTCCAGGACGTTGTAGAGACCCCATCTTAAAGATCCTGTCGGAGAATTGCATGATAAACATTGCTGTCGCCTCTCTTGTAGCCCCAGGGCCCAGCAACCTGGCCATGACAGGACTGAAGTCTTTCTCCAGCCCCTCCCTCTGTAGCCTGAACACCCTGTTGGCAGGTGCCTCAGGCCTGCCTCATGCCTCAAGCACTGGGAACCTCGGCCTCCTCTGCAGAGGGAGCCATCTTGGAGCCAGCCATGGAGCCCCCAGCAGGGCTATACCATCCTTGGAAAGGAGTCTCCTGAGACTGGGTTTTGGCTAAGGTGAGATAAAATGCAGCCCTGGCTAGGGAGAGGGTGGACTGGAGGTTGGGTGGCAAAAATTGGGTGTTAGCATCCCTTCCTAGAGTAGCAATTCCAGTTGGTACTCAGGTGCCCACCTGTTTGAGGTATGTGGCTAATCAGTGAATTTGTCTTTTTTTCCACTTGGTAGCCTCACAAGTAACACCAAAAATACTCATTCGGTGACCCCAGAAACCCTTGTCACCGTTGCCTTTGTTTTTGAGCAAATAACTAACCTCTGTTCCTGTGCCTCAGTTTCCCCACCTCAGACCATATTATAGTTTGCCAGTAACCCTTGATGTGTGCATGCCCCTGGTAGTTGACAAGATTTTACGTGGCATGTAAATCAAGATGCTTTACTTTAGTAATATGTTTAATATATAATGCCAAATATAATGAGCAAATTGGCCTATAGTTCTTTTGCATTTATGTACAAAACTAACTAACCTTAAAAAAAAAAAAAAAAAAAAGGCAAGGAATCGACTTAAAGCATCCTGTCAAATGGAGCGCAGATCCAGAAGATAACAGAAATGTGGAGGTGTTCCCACGAGTGGCTGATGCTTGGGAAATCCTGAGTGTTGACAACGTTCTCGCCATGTTCATCCCCAAAGGACTCAATGATCATCTTCGTCTTTGATGTGGAAGGGAGTGGTTGCCTGAATGCTTACATGTGTCTGTTTGAATTTTCTTCAGACTTCCACCTGAAAGATGGAGCCCAAGAGTTCTTAGAGATGTCACAACTTGAATCCCAAAGAAGAGGCCAGTTAGCCACTCACCTTCCTGGAACCTTCAGTACCATAAAGAAGCGTGTAAAGACCTAGGTTCTGGCTCTGCCACTGGCCTGGCTGTGCCACCTGGAAGCAGTGACCTGATTTTCTAACATTATTTTCTCAATTGTAGACCAAGGACAGTAGCATGTGCCTTCCTGCCTCAAAGGACTGAGGTACAGCCATTTCACTGCAGAAAGGGCCTGAGTTCTTGCTTAGGTGCCCGAAGGTAGAGTGATGCCCATAGTTCTATGGCCTTAAAGGTCACCAGGGGCTGGGTGGTGGTGACACACACCTTTAATCCCAACACTTGGGAGGCAGAGCCAGGTGGATCTCTGTGAGTTCAAGGCCAGCCTGGTCTACAGAGTGAGATCCAGAACAGGCACCAAAACTACACAGAGAAACCCTGTCTCGAAAAACAAAACAAAACAAAGAAACAAAAAGAGTCACCAGGCCCCCAGGCGTGATTCGAGTGCCTTTAATCCCAGCACTTAAGAGGCAGTGGCAGGGGGATGTCTGTGAGTTCAAAGCCAGCCTGGTCTATAAAGTGAGTTCCAGGACAGCCAAGGCTACATAGAGAAACCCTGTCTCAAAAAGCAAAAAACAAGAACGAAACAAGAAAAAAAAAAAAAAAATAGAGAGAGAGAGACCTGGATGAAGATCGAAGCTGACATCATGACTCCAGCCCAGGCTTCCGGTCTCCCAGTTCCCACTGTAGTGTTGTTTGGAAACATCATCATCACCCTGCAGGTGTGGGGGTGTCAGTAGAGATTAGGACCTGGAGTCTTGGAGTCAGAGAGTCGAGACTGTGAGTCCTTTTTGGGAAAGGTCGGGTAGGAATATACAAGTGTTTAATAAAACAGATGGTGGATTATCTCCTCACTCTTGCCCTTGAGTGTGTTGGGGAGAGCCAGGGAGATGGGCAGGGGGGGCTGAAAGCTAAGGCTCCATCCTCATCTCTAAACTCTCCATTAACCAATTTAAAGGGTCTTAAAAGCTCTCCAAGAGAGAGACTTAGAAAAAAAAATGACTTCTGAGTCAACGCTAATGACTCCAATTACTGAATTTGTGAATAGCTGTTCCCTGGCTTCTGGAAATTAGCCCAAGTTCAATAGCAGAAACGTGGCTGTGGGTAGGGGGTGGGAGGAACTGAGGACCAGCCCTCCCCCCACCTCACCCCACCCTGTGACTGTTTCCTCGCCCAGCCAGCATGGTCTGTTCTGAGATGGGAGGGTTTTCGAGGGATAAGTGTTCACATTTCCTGCTGCTGCCCACCCCTGCCTCTCCTAACTTCTGTGTGGTCTCAGCTGTGCTGTTCCAGCACCTTCCTTCCCCTGAAGCCCCAGTGCCTCCCCTGCTCCCTGCTTCCCTCCCGGATTTGCCATGATACCATCCTCACCCCTACTGGGCACCTTCTATGATGCCCTCCACAGGCCGTACTCCTCAGCCGTGGGCACCCGGTCATATCCCAGCACTTAGAGCAGTGTCCCAAGCAAGATGTGGGCTCCGTGTTTGGAGTTTGAAGCCCTGCAGTACACTAACCACTATGGCAAAAATAAACAAATAAGAAAGGTTTCTGTGGTCGAGTACCTTTGGGAAGCACTGCCCCAGATGGCCCCTTTTTATAGACTCACCGCACACGTCAGCAGCGTGAGCTCCAGGGAGCCCTGCAGTAAAACCAAGCCTTCCTGGGTGCCTTGAGGAATGTCACCACAGCATTCTCGGGAGTCTCACCCAGCAGCTGTTAAGTCATTTGGGTCCCCCAAGCCCCCCTTGCTTCCCCAACCGCGTCGGTCAGACAGTGGATCCAGGTGTCCTGCTGAGATGGTGCCATGTGGTTCTCACTCCCACTCAGTCCCTGCTGAGTTAAACACAGAAACTGTCTGGGTACCCAAGTTGAGGTGGGGTATTTCTAAACAATCCAGCCTCAGAAGAGCCTCTGCCTGGGGAGAGGGAAGGGTAGAAGTCATAAGAGACGTTATCTGGGGGGTCAAACAGACTGTGCAGGCGTTGTGGCCTCAATTCAGTCTCTGCCAGTCTCTTTATGGACATTCTGCCATTAGAATTCTAGTCATGACTCATCAGTGCCCTGAGGGACAATGTAAGACCAGAGCAGGGAGGTGGCCCCACAGCAGGGCCAGTGAGGCTTGTGTGCCAGGGGATACAGGGTTCCAAGCCTAGCCATGGAACCAGTTCTTCAGCCATGAGACCTTTGAGCGAAGCTGGACCGATGCTCTGTCCTGGAAGCCCTGATGCTGTGGTGGGAACACAACCGTTCAGATCGTTAGGTCCTTGTTGCTGATAGAGTGCAGGGAACTTAGTAGATGCTCAGCGAAGGTGTGTTCAACACATCTGCTCTGTGCCCAGCAACAAGCCTACACATAGTAGGTGCTTTAAGTAATTGTTTTGTGGATGGATGAATGATTATGCCTTTCCCCTCTCTATGATCATTATGCTACTTCTGACACGTAGAAATTATTCAAGCAATACAAAATATAGCTTATGTCTGTGATCTTAGCACTTGAGAGGCTGAGGCAGGAGGATTGCCTTGAGTTCAAGGCCTACAGTGAGAGACTCTGACTCACCTGACAAGTTTATTGCATGATGTTTGTATTGCCCTCATAGTATACACCATTCCTAGGAGGATCTGGAAAACGCTGACCTACTTGGCAGGTAAATATGATGTGCTAAGTTGATCCTATCCTGAGTCTCCCTCCTCCCCCATCCTGTCTTTTTTGGGAATTTGGTTCCCTCCAGAGTCCCAAGGGTAGCGTTGCCATCTCATTCTTGTTTCAGTCAGAGGAGAGGTAGGGTCAGCAAGCTGCCAAGCTGAAGTTGGGTGACAGACGGGAAGGCTGCCTGTCAATCTCTGAGCTGCCCCCAGGCTGAGTGAACACCGCATTGCACTCTTGGTGCTGGAGAACGGCTGACTATTGATTTAAAAAAAAAAAGTCCCTCTGTGCTTTCCAAATTAAGACGACATTTAACTGAGTGCTTGCTGGCTCGCCTGCTCTCTCTGTCTCCCAGGGGACAGAGCCCATCTTGGTGGAAACTGTTTCAAGTTATGTCCAAAGCCTTAGCTTTGACATCTTGGCTGATGTCAAGAAATTTCTGTAACCTTCCTGTTCAGCACACCCAGTTCTGTCACCATATGTACTGCCTCGCTCAGAGCCCATTTCGGGGAAAAGTGCTGGTGTCAGCGTGCTAGGAAGGGACGTGGGGCGCAGGATACGGCACCAGCCCTCGCACCCCATCCCCCCACAAAACAGCATTGCCCAGGAGTTCTCTGGGTTCTGCAGGGGTGCCGAGGACAGACTGAGAGGGCTGCAGTGGTCCTCAATCTTAGTGAAGTCAAAGTCCACTTCGACAATTTGATGAAAGCATTATTCCAGCCCAGAGGAGAGTGCATCCCATCCCTGCTCGGCATGCAGTTTAGCTGTTCATAAATCCTGAAGCCCAGACACCGTAGGTTAAGAACCGGTGATGGAAACCAGGTATAGTGGCTAACACGGCTAATAACACTACTCAGGATGCTGAAGCAGGAGAATTGCCAAGTGTTCAATCCATGACTACATAGTTCGTTCCAAGGTGGACTAGGTTATACTATGAGACTATCTGAGAGAAAGGAAGAAAGAGGAGAGAGGTCTAGAGTTGCTCAGCAGGAGAGATGCTTGCCCCCAAACCTGACAACCTGACCTTGATCCTTAGAACCAATGTAGTAGAAGGGGAGAATTGGCCCCCTACAAGTTGTCCTCTGACCTCCACAGGCCTGTCCTGCGGTATGTGTGCTTCCCACCCCTGCTAAAGAAAATGAAAATTGAAGTGGCCAGGCATAATGGTGCATGCCCTTAATCCCTGCGACCAGGAGGCAAGCAGATCTCGGTGAGATCAAGGCTAGTCTGGTCTACCAGGCCACCAGGGCTACACAGTGAGACCCTGTTTAAAAAATAAAACAAAAACCCCACTGTAATGTAGAATATATTAAATCCTGACTGCAAGTTACCGGTGGTTTCGTCTCTCCACATCCTTGGCTGTAAAATGAGGAGTTTCTAGCTAGCTGTGACAGTCATACACTGGTAATCCCGGTACTTGGGAGGTAGAGTCAGCAGGATCAAGAATTCAAGGTCATCCTCAGCTCTAGTGAAGAGTTGAGACAATGAAAAGTTCAGACTCTGTAGGTCTGCAAATGGTTTAGTGTCTTGAAGCCATGCTGCATAAACTTTTACAGGTCATATGTTTCCTTGGGAATCTGATGAGAACTTTGTATCTTCTGCTCAGATAAAATTCCTTATGTACAAAGATTTGTCTGGTATGCAGCCAAGGACCAGGTCTTTAGGACTAGAGAGATGAAATGGCTTAGTCTTTTTTTTTTTTCTTTTAAGATGTATTTATTTTATGTATATGAGTACTCTATCTGCATGTATGCCTGCCTGCCAGAAGAGGGCATCAGATCCCACTATAGATGGCTGTGAGCCACCATGTGGTGGCTGGGACTTGAACTCAGGACCTCTGGAAGAGCAGCCAATGCTCTTAAAGGCTGAGCCATCTCTCCAGCATCACCACCACCCCCATTTTGTTTTTATTTTTATTTTATTTATTTATTTATTTAGGTTTTTTTAGACAGGGTTTCTCTGTGTAGCCCTGGCTGTCCTGGAACTCACTCCATACACCAGGCTGGCCTAGATTCACAGAGGTCCTCCTGCCTCTGTCTCCCAAGTGCTGGGATTAAAGGTGTGCGCCACCACTGTCCAGCTTGGTTTAGTGTTTCTGATGAGTCTCAGCCATGGTTCCAGCATCCCTAGGTCATCCCCCACTGCATCTCTCCTCCACCTGCAAATCCACTAGTAACTTGTGTGTGTGAGATCGGCATGGTCTACTTTTGTACTACTGTCTTTAGACTTGGCTTTTACATAGAACTATTTCCCCCCAATGATGTCCTACCTGGAGTGTCAACATAAACAAACATCAACTCTGAAGCATTTCTTTACCCATTTATTCATTCATATGGCCACTCAACAAGTATCTCTAGGGTCAACTGTGCCAGGGTGGACAAGCTGGAGCTCCTGCTTGCTTGGTTTTCATGGCCTCTCTCAGTGGCCTGGAACCCAGCCGCTCTGTGAACCAGCTTGAAAAATCACAGGTCTCGTACGATCACTCTGACCTGGAGTGAGGTGATGAGAGACCCAGACCTTGCCTCTGAAATGCTTAACTTCTTCAGGTCTCATACTGCTCATCTATAAGCTGGACTAACATCACTGCATTCTGGGCCCTGAAGAGGACAAGTGAAGCGGACACTATCTCTGCCTCCAGTGTCCAGGAGAGCCCCCCATACTATCCTAAATTAGCTGTGACTGCTTGGAAATTTCCAGAAACAAAGAGCCTTGGGAACAGATTAGCTATTTCTTCACTCTTCCCACCCCTGGAAGCCTGGCTGCTGTCAGTATGGATTTCATAGTCCCAGTTCACATACCATCCTCCGGGGCCTCAATTCCCAGACCCAAGCCTGCCAATAGCGAAAGATTTCCCCAGCTAGGGTGTCAGAAAAGATGACTTCTGCATCTGAAGGGTTGCTCCCTGGAAAGGGACAGGACTGGCATTGGGCAGATGCAAAGCTCCTTTGAACCCGTGCTTGTAAGCATGCCGTCATATGGGCCTGGATGCCTTCTATCTGCAAGCCTGCATCTCAGGGACTTCTCCTTTTCTATTCCTCGGTTGGCAATCTAGTGCCACGGTTGATGGCATGGGCTTTGGTGTTGGACCAGCCTGAGCACAAATCCTGGCTCTGCATCTACTCCCTGCTCACTCTTGGGAGAGTGTGGGGCGTTTACCCAACCACCCCCACAGTTCCCCAGAGTTTTCTTGAGTGCGAGCAGCAGGAAATATTAGATAGAAGGATTTATTTCGGAGAATATCGCGGAGATAAACAGATAGAAAATAAAGGATAGCCTCGAGAGAGCCTGGAACCTTTTCCAACGGGCCCCGACTGTCTCTGCCCCAGGGTTTTTATAGAGACGCCAGGGGGTGGAGCAAAAGACCTCCTCCCCCAGCACAGTCAAGTGCAGACCATCTCAGACACCTGCACTCAGGCCCGTGGTCCTATTCATCCTCTATGTGGACCTGCTGGGTAAAGCCACGAGGAACCCGAGAACAGGCTCCCACAGGAGAGACATTCAACTTTTCCAAGCTTCATATCTGTGAAATGGGTATAGTATACCACCAACCTACTATTGTGGGAAAAATCAAATTAAAGCCTACTGCCTGGCTCATATAAATACTCTAATTTACAGTCTTGCTTTACTTGGTCCTGATTTTCCAGCTGAGAAGCATATTGTTGGATAACATAGTGGAGTGGAGCCAAGAACACACATGTCCATTATCTGCGTACCTGTCACTGTGAACCAGTGTGACCCACTCCTGCCATGACCCAACAGGAATTAGATGACAAATTGCCCTCACTCTGGTACTCTGGCAAACAGGAGAATGAGCTGCAGTTTTTCCTTTATTAGTAGGTCAGAGAGCACATTGCCTGGCTCCCCCAGGAGCCAGCCCTCTGCCTTCAGTATCCAGTGAGGCCACCCTCCTGCTTATGATACTACGCTCAGTGGCATCTGTTCCTCCTGAGGGCCAACTCTTTACACCCTGTATGTGTTTTACCACAAATTCCTCGGGGAGACCCAAAGCTGCCCCTGTCCTCCATAATGCCCAGCCGTAGGGTCCCTGTTACAAGGTCTGCTCTGGCCAGTTACCTGTTAGTCCTCCTCTGTGGGGAACAGCATCAGTCACCCTAAAGTTAGAGTCTCTAGCCAGTGAGTTCCACAATTTTAGAAATCAGCTCATTCCCTGAGATCCTCAAGGTCTGAGTACCCTAATATCTCCCGGGGGACCTGGCTCCTGGATCCAAAGGCCTCCCAACCAAGCATGGTCATAGATTCCTGCCACAGTCACGTCTGCTGTCCGCTGCCTTCTTTCTACTCAGCTGTGCTTCTGAGCCCGAGGCCCCACTGGTGGCCAGGTCTAGACTGAGGGTCCTGCCGCACACCGAGAGCCGCCGCAAAGCCGCGGACGCAGCCTCCACTGGCACCGTGTGCTGCTCCAACAACATCTCCAGCAGCGAGCTCATCTCTGAGACGAACGTGCTGGCCAGGCGCGTGCCTGTTGGGCTTAGCTCGGGTCCCGGTCCGGCTGTTTTGCCGAACGTCTGGAAGGTTCTCGGTTCCTCTGAAGCTGCAGCGTCAGGGGAAGACAAGTTGTCTCGGTAATTGGTGGTGAGGGGCAATGACAGTCTCGCCATCCAGGCTGGGTCAGGGGGACTCAGCTTGTCCAGGGCCAGACCTGCAGAGGAAGGAGGGACACGGTGAGGGCCAGATGCAGGGAAGGGCCGGGAAGCCAGGCGGGGTGGGGCTGTAAGCAGGACAGGAGCAGTGGACACAGAAGGAAAGGGAAATGGTGGGGGACACACTACACAGTGAGAGCAGGATGGGAAGGAAGAGGCCTTGACAGGCAAGCTCCCTGGGCAGGAAAACTGCTGACCAAAGCCGGAAGAGCTTAGTTTGGAGGAGGCATGAGGACAGACAGAATTAGCCTGTTTCAGCCTGGCAATGGAGGAACACATCTGGTATCCCACCACTTGGGAAACGGAGGCAAGAGAGTCACAGCGAATTTGAGGCCAGCCTGATCTTCAAGTTCCAGGCCATCCAGGGACCCTATCTCAAAAACAAACAAACAAAAAACAAAAAAGAAAGAAACAATAATAACCACTTATTAACTGCTCATATGCCAAGAAATTGCTTAATTATCTCATTTCACCTACTCAGCTGTTTGAGGTCAAGAGTCTTATCTCCATTTTAAGGATGAGGAAACTGACCCTCAAAGAAGTCTTGTTTTCTAGGTAACCAAAACCCGATTGGACCTAGGTCTGATGACTTTGAAGGCCCAGGTACTCCCCAACCGTACCCACTCTCTAGGAAGCATGGCCTTCTTGCCCCTGGGTGCTGCTCTGGAATTGCCAGGGCTGACAGGGCCTGCCTTGTCACTATGGCCCCATCTCCCCTCCCCCTTCACGGAAACTTGCCTAGTGTCCAGCAGAGGAGGAGGGGCTGCCTGTCTGAGGATCGTCCTGAGGAAGGGATGGGTCAAGTGGCAGCAGCAGCCTGGTGCTGGAGGATTTTTAAACAATGTCCCCTAGATTCTCATGCCGTCACCACACTGTTTTCCCATTTCTCCATCAGAAAATCCTGTCTCAAAATAATACTTCTAGGAGCTGGGTGTGGTGGCACGTGCCTGTAATCCCAGCACTCGGGTGGCTGAGACAGGAGGGTATCTGGGAGTTCCAAGATAGAATAGGTTACAGGGGGCACAAGGCCAGCTAAGACTGCATCAGACTCTGTCTCAAATAATAGACATGAATTCCAGCCCCCAAAGCAAAGACCAAGCAGGAGAGAAAAAAAGGAAATCCAGTTTCCTGCTTATGAAACACACACACACACACACACACACACACACACACACACACACACACACCCGGGGGTGGGGTGGGGGAGGCGGGGAGAACATGTGTTAATATTAACAGATATTTAAAGCTTGTTTCAGGTTAGTGGTTCTAAATCTGTGCAAGAGAAGATGCTGGAAGGAAACGGGGCAAAAATGTTAACCGAAATTCTCTGGGCATAAATGATTTGTTCTTTTTTTGTTTGTTTCTTTGTTTGTTTGCCTATATTTCCTACATTACCAGAATGCTACTTTTGCAACTTGAAAAGGTCATTCTAACGTGCAGCTAATCGTTTGCTTGGATCAGTGAATAATCCCCCTGGTTCTTGTCTTCAGTTCTGGACTGTACAGGATGGGTCTGGCCCCCTTGCCTGGGATTTGGTGAGTGTCTGTTGTATGATTAATGGACATGATGATTGACCCTTGACCTTGGGAGACTGTAGACATTAGTTCCCTGAGACTCTGAGACATAAGAGTTGGAACTCTTGGTGGTACAGACTCCAGCCTTTCCTTGTTCATGGTCAGCTTCAGAAGAGAATGGGAAGTTACAGGGCAAATGAGAACAGCTGGAATTTGGTGATGAGTTCACTGTGAACCTTCATTACAAATTCAGTGAGTTCATGAAACTAATAAAATAGTCACACACACACACACACACACACACACACACACACACACACACACCACACACAAACCCAGCTCCCCGGTGTGTGTACAGCTACCAGAAGTCAATATAGGCTGTCTCATTCCATTTCTTTTTTTATCTTTTTTGAGATGAGTTCTCACTTTGTACCCCTGGTTGGTCTGGAACTCTTTATATAAACCAAGCTAGTCTCAAATTCACAGATATCCACCTGCCTCTGCCTTCTGAGTACTGGGATTAAAAGTGTGCACCCCGATACCTGATTTCCAACTTATTTTTTGAGACCGATTCTCTCACTGAACGGAAGCTCACAATCCAGCTAGGCTGGCTAGTCAGCAAGTCACAGGGACCTCCAGTCTCTGCCTCCTCAGCACTGAGATTACAGCTGTACGCTGTCATGCCTGGATTTTAGGGGATCCAAACTTAGGTCCTCAAACCCTTGTGGGAAACACTTCACCCACTGAGTCAACATTACCACATCTTCAGATGGCTTTTTTTTTTTTTTTATCTCATCACCAAGTCCCCAGTCCTAAACACATCTCTCTGTAGCCCCAGGGCATCCAGATTTTGGACAGCAAAGTCTTTCCCACTCCCGTTTTTCATCTTCCCACTCACATTACCCAGTGCCTTCTGGGCTGTGGGGAGGCAGGACAGGTCAAGGATTGAGCCCACGGGTCCTGGCACCAGCTGGTCAGTGACAGAATTCAAAACTGTAGCCACCAACCCATATGTGGGTACTGAGCCCCTAAAGTGTAGCTGGTGTGACTAAGGACGCAATATTTCGTTTTATTTAATTTCACTTCATTTCAACTTAAATAGCCGTATGTGGCCAGTGGCTACCATACTGAACAGCACAGCTCTAAAATTGAGAGCCATATTGCCTATATGAATAGCCATTAGCCGAGTAACCCTGTCAAACCATTAAACACTTTTGACCCTCAGCTTTTTTTTTCTTTATGAAATGGGGATAATGAGCAGCCCCTTTCTCTTCATATTTTCTCCAGAGAAACTTACAGCAGGTGGCTTGCACCGAAAAGCACTCTGTCAGTGCCTGTCATGGTTTTCAGCCCCAGAAAGGGCAAAACCTGCCATACCTTGCAGCCAGACGGAAATAAACTAACTGCAGAAGCAGAGGATGGGATGGCCAGGGGTAGGGTGTGTCGCCTAAGGGAGGTAGACCAGTTCCCACAGAAGGCGTTTGGCTGGCCCAGTCTTGCGTTAAAATTCATAGTATGTTTATAGTTAAATCTAATTGTTTTGGCTGGGCAGCAGCGATGGCGCACGCCTTTCATCCCAGCACTCAAGAGGCAGAGGCAAGCGGATCTCTGTGAGTTCGAGGCCAGCCTGGTCTACAGAGCGAGATCCAGGATAGACACCAAAACTACACAGAGAAACCCTGTCTTGAAAACCAAACAAACAAGAAAAACCCTAATTGCTTTGCCTTCCTCCCCTCCTCCTCGTCCTCCTCCTCCTCCTCTTTGTTCATTGTTTCTTATAGGGTCTTATGTAGCCCAGACTGGTCCAGAATTCATCAAGAGTGACCTTGAGCTCCTGACCCTCCCTCCTCCACCTCCCATGCACTGGGATTAAAGGCCTGTACCAACAGGCCCGTTTAATGCAGTGCTTGGGAATGAACCCAGAAGCAGGCAAGCACTCTACCAACTAAGCTACATTCTAACCCAAAACTCATTTTTTTTGGTAGAAAAAAAAAAACAAAAAAAGAAAAGAAAGAATTTCTTTATCTTCAATTAGCACATTAAGGAGTTGTCTCTTTTCTGGAGTGAAAGGTTATTTAACTATGCCACACGCGATGGTGCAGTTGACTTTATACTGCTCAGGTTTGGGCTCCCAGCCAGGACCGAGGAGACTCTGGTCAGGCCAGCTTGCTTCCTGAGTCTGTGTTCACCTGTCCATTGCAGTTGGTATTATCTACCCCAGAGGACCACCTGGAGGCTTTCCTGGTGCTTGGCACCCAGGCCAAGAACTAAGTAACTGCTTACTCAGCAGTGACCCTAAGTCAAGCCCTGGGCTATGTTATTCTCTTTCTTTCTTTCTTTCTTTTTTAATTTTTAAGAGATTTATTTATTCTATTTTATGTATATGTTTTGCCTGCCTATGTATCTGTGTACCATGTATGTACCTAGTGCCTGTGATGTTCAGAAGAAGGTGTTGGATCCCTGAATCTAGAGTTACAGACAGTTATGAGCTGCCCTGTGGGTGCTGAGAACTGAACCCAGGTCCTCTGGAAGAGCAGCCGGTGCTTTTAGCCACTGAGTCTGAGTCATCTCTCAAGCCCTGTTCATTATTCTTAATAATGATTTTTTAAAAAGTAGAACCTGGGGTCTGGAGAGATGGCTCAGCAGTTAGGAGCACTGGCTGCTCTTCCAGAGGACCTAGGTTCAATTCCCAGCACCCACAGAGCAGCTCATAACTGTCTGTAATTACAATTCCAGGGGATTCAACACCCTCCCACAGACAAAAGTGCAGGCAAAACACCAATGCACATAAAATCAAAATAAATGAATCATTTTTTTTTTTTTAAGAAAAGTAGAACCTGGTCATTAAACAAAGGAAAGCTGGGCATGGTAGCTCATGCCTATAATCCCAGCACTTGGGAAGTTGAGCATGTGGATTTCAAGGTCAGCCTGGGCTACATGTTGACAGAGCGAAACCCTGTCATAAACAACCAAACCCACCATCACAACCACATAACTAAATAAACAGATAGATAACCACTTTCTGAGACCGCAGTGGAAATAAAAGGCTGGCCACACCCCTCTCCAGGCCACACCCCTCTCCAGGCCACACCCCTCCCCACAGTGGATTGGACAACTCTGGAGCCTGTGTGCATGGTGGATGATGGACACAGAGAAAGCACAGGGGTGACTTTGGGGCATCCCTACCTGTATGGGGGTCCAGCAGGCTTGACAGCTCTTCTTCTAGAAGTCGCTTCACAGAAAGGTCCTCCTCAGGGCCTAGGGGGCCTTCTTCCAGGTCAGGTTCTGCTTGGCCACCAGGCCTGATACCTGGGCCATCTGTGTCTGGGATGGCAGTCCTGTGAAGAAGCCAGCCGGGTTTCAGCTGAAGATTTCTCACATAACTGTCTGCTCACGGCATCTAGATCATCTGTCATCTATACAGGGGACTGGGGCGTAGCCTGACGTCAACTGGGTCTTAATTCCCAGCCTTCTTGCTGCCTGTTTGCTCTCCTATGAAACGGGAGTAATAAGTAGTAACTCTCACGGGGTTTTGTAAGTGAGACTTCGTAGGTAAAAGGTTTAGCCTAGTGCCCTGCAACAGTCTACACAGTAGGCACACAGAAGAGAAGTGAAGCCGGCGTAGTGTTGCTCACTATTGTCTCTCCCTCGCACCTTCGATGGGGATGGCACAGGGTGGCATTTAGTAAACTTCTTCGGTCAACGTGATCATCTACACAGAACCAGCCCCTGATCTCACTCTGTAGACCAGGCTGGCCTTGAACTCACAGAGATCCGCCTGGCTCTGCCTCCCGAGCGCTGGGATTAAAGGCGTGTGCCACCACCGCCGCCGCCCTGCGATTTTTGCCTTTCTTATTCCTTGTTCTCTTGTCAAGTGCTCAGAGCATGGCCTGGCACCCACTTGACAAAAACTATGGAATGAGTAACCCTGTCTTCCTTCCTACTAAAGCCACATCTCAGAGCAGAGGAACAGGTCTGTGGAGGGGGTGCATCTGCATGGGGCATCCTTAAACTACTCATATCTATACCTGCACCCCAGCTTCCTGGCTTACCCTGGGGCCCCTGTGTCTCACTGACCCCCAGGGCCTCTGACAGTCACTCAGCATGAAGCCCATCCCTACAGGTGAAAAGTCTCCCTGAGGGGCTCGAAGTCCCATGATTCCTACTTGATTTCTGTTGTTCTCATTCCTCACTGGGATCATTGCTGCTGCTATGAAGAGGTCAGCCAGGAGGTAGCCAGCTGGGGGTAAGGGTCACAACTATCCCAAGTCAGGCCTCATGCTATGCAAGGTAACAGGCGCTCACTCATTGGAACCTTCCAAGCCTATACAGAAGAGGCATTCCCATTTGACCACCGAGAAGATTTTTGCACCTTGCCTAAGGCCCCCAAGGACTAAGTAATTAAGCAAGAATTCAAATCCAGACCCGTGACTCCGGAATGTGAGCTGTTAGGGCTCAGGAAAGCATGTCAAAATGTGAAGTCCTTTAAAACTGTCCCTCTGACCTCCTGTCCCAGAGCTCCACCCCCAGGGTGAATAGATAGCAATCTAGAATTCCTTTCCCAAAGTAGGTCATAGAAACTAGAGCTCTTCCCAACGCCAACCATAAAACCTAAAAACACACTTGAATCCCCCCCCCTCCCCAACACACACACACTTTCTATGTAAGAACTGGCAATAAAGAAATTCTCTGACTTGCCCAGCTTGATTGCAGGTTGTAAGTCCCTGGTTCCAGAAAAGCTCCTAGCCCATGCCTGGAATCAAGGAATGCCCAGTAGAGCAGCCAAGAAGCCACACAGATAGGCCTTTGCCGGGACTCCCTCTTTGGTCTAAGTTTCAATTTGCTCATACCCTTTTTATCCAATTCTATTTTCGCAGGTGTCCCGAAACACTGAACCCAATCTTAAAAATGGGTCTTTGGATCTTCAATCTAAATAAAGGCTTCTTCTGTATCACATAAAACAATGATTTAAATAAATTATTATGGGGCCAGCGAGATAGATGCCTCAGTGGCTAAGGGTACTTGCCAGCAAACCCGAATGACCTGAGTTCAATTCCCCGAACCTACATGATGAGAAAGAGAGGAAAGACACCCACATGCTACCCTCCATCCTCCACACACACACTTCCCCCTACTCATGTGCAAAATACATGAATGTAAAATGATTTTTTGAATTTACTATGGCTTTTCTCCTGTTCACTGGTCTGTTGGTAGTTTATTTCCACAGACTCAAATGTTGAGCCTGCAGAAGGAAAATCTGTTTCTCCATGCGTAGCGAAGAATAGGATTTGATGTCCTCTTGAGGTCTCTTCAATTCCAGGGTTGCCCTCAGGGGCAGACCCTCACATCTACATCCTTATATAGCGTGTTTATAGGCCAAGAGAAAGAAAGGTGAAAGTCACAGATTTCAAACCAATCAAGTAATCAGGGGAGATAGTCCCAGCTAGGAGATGAAGTCATTTCCTTAGCGACACTGGGACCTGTAAATATCATAAATACAGTGGCCCCAGGATGGAGCCTCCAGAGTGGGGGATGGGTGCTGTCTGCTGCATGTACCCCCTGGGCTGGGTTCACAGGGTGCTCATCTCTCCACACTCACCACGGCTGTAGGGAGGGTGACCTAGAGGCCCAAAGGAGACTGTGCTGTGGGTGCTACATGCGGTTTACCTGCTGCCGCCGGGCTTGGCCAAGTATTTATTTCCTCGGTGGTTTGGTTTGGGCTGGAATTGGCCCCGATGCAGCAAGGACAGCAGCTGGGAGATTTGCTACAAGACAGGAAAAATCTGTTGACTCCACACAATTCCGACCCAGCACGCTTCCTCGCCGGATGTTTCCCTCAATGCTGGTGCTTTCTTTTTATAGTTTTTCCTCTGGCTTCAGATGCTTCTGCGATCAAATAGGGGGTTGGGGGAATGGACCTGTGTGACTGAGACAGGGACCTGGGGGAGAGTGCTTCCTGGCTTTGGCACCTCACTGCAGGCCCTGGGCAGCTAAAGGCGACAGCATGGAGACCCTTGGAACCATCCCCAGAAAGCTCATTCCCTGGAGTGACTGGTGGACTTGGAGGGCTGGAGTGAAAAGCCATTTCTGGATCATCCAGTTGGTACTTTGATAAGGATTGTCTACAAGAGTTATTTTCCTCTTTGAGCAGTATTCAAGCATTCTGGCTTGAACTGGGGGTGCGGGGGGGGGGGGGGATATGCAAGACTGCCTTGTGTAGGGCAGAAATGGAATCATTTAGCCAATTCACTTATTCATCCTGTCAATCAATGGACATGTATTTAAAAGCATTTCTTTGTGCCAGGCAGAGTGTTTCTGTGGGACTTGTAAGAATGAGAAAGGGACCCCCTGTTGTCTTTGGAAGTTCATGCTTCACAAGGGAGGCAGGGAAGAGGGTACAGAGACCGCACCGGGGTCACAACTATCCATTTACTTTCTTATCTTTGGAAACTATCCTGAGGGGCTGGAACTACAGGCCTGTGCCACCAAACCCGGCTTTCAAGCAATTCAACAAATGTTTGTTTGACTTCTGGCTCTGTGCCAGGAACTCCTGCTGAGACCTAAGGCTCCCCAGGAATTCCGCCAGAGACTGGAAGGTCTGGACATTAAGTGAAGACAGCTTCTGTTGAGGGTTCTCAAAGACTAAAAAACCGGTAGCGTTTCAGAAAGACGGGAGGAGTGGGGATTGTCTAGATGTGGGTCCTACACCCCAAGGTCCTGGAGGGAGAGGAAGCAGAGCCAGCCTCGGCCGACTCAGTTCCTCCTTCATGATCACTAGCTTGTGAACTTTCAGGCAGGTTTTGAGACCTACTGAGACTTCGTCATCTCTCAGTCTCTGAAGTGGGCTTGAATTCTCCACAGCATTGTCAGTGTTAATGAGATACATTGATACTAAGACTCAGGGATGTTACCTCAAAAATGCTGCTTCTGGGCAGCCAGAACTAGGCTTTCACCGTGACTTGGGAGAGTCAAGGACCTGCCTCAGGTAGATTCTTCCTCCTCACCAGGCCCAGAAGCCCTTAAAAGGCAGGCACCTGCTACCTTTTACCCAAGCGACACTAGGTAATTACAATCCGAAGGCCAAGCCCAGTGTTGCATCCTCACATTAGGAGTCACTTCACAGTTGGAACCCAAACTCTGGAGTTGGATTCAGGTTCACATTCTGTCTGTTCCCACCTTACCTCCCATCTTCCTGGCCCTAGAAAATGGCTTATGGATTCTGAGCCTCAGTTCCCTCAACAGCAGGGGAATAAGGGAGATTGAGGTCACATGGTGATTGAGGTGCATGAGTACTAAGAGCCCCAGGTAGCACTTAGTAATTACCTGGTGACAACTAATCTCATTTGCGCCACTCAATAGCTGCAGGAAGGTGCTCCATCCCATGCATTTTGTAGATATGGAACCTGAGGTTCACAGCTCTCCCAGAGACAAGGCCTGGGACTTGAACTCAGGTCTGACTTTATTGTGCGGCTGAACTGCACAAAGACCTGAGCATCTTACTCTCGACCTCCAGTTGATTCCAAATGAGCGCCTTCCTTTCCAGTGTGTCATGTAGAGTGTCTACTCCCTACTGTCATGTCCAGTGGCACGGCCTAAGAGTTCATCCTAAAAGCAGCTGGTGGATGAATGAGTGAATGAAGGAAGTAGTTGGCTGTAGTTCCCTCTGGGTTTGCAGGGAGCCCCAGGGTGAGATTCCTAAGAGAATAGCTAAACCACCTCCAAGTGGCTTCCTAGGGTTTGGGAAGGAAGCTGGGTCCCTGATCCATGAGAAACCTGAGCTGATTGTCTGGCCCAACAGAAGTGTGTCTCTGACACACAGCCTTGCATGGTGAAAGCTCCCCGGATGTCAGAGAAGCAGTTAGGGGTGACTTAAGCACCGTCCCTGAAAAGACCTCCCGTTTGTGTTTAGTAAATCCCAAGACATGAACTGCATTACCACTCAAAATCCCATTAATCCTCCCCTCCAGGGCAGTGGGGACCAAGTGAGTTTGACTTCGTAATTCCCATTTTGTAGATGAAGAAAATGAGACTCCACTGTTAGAGGTCATTCCCTACATTCTCTGGTTCTAAGTGGCCGTGTTTGAACTGGGATCTGCCTCACTAGACAGTGGTTCCCACTGTCTCCCCAGCTGGTAAACTTCGGGGTCTCAAGCAAGTCCCTTTGGGGGGGGGTCACCTAGACCTGACTGTTTCATGGGGGGAGGGGGGCAGTTGCCTAGACAAGATGAGCAGGTTGAGAGCAGGGATGGAGAGGTGCTTTGTGGAGGTGGTAGCAATCATTTGCTGAGCATACACTACGGGCCAGGCAGATGCAGCTGTCCAGACGCGGCTGCCATTGATCGGTTCATTTTGTTTTTATGCAGTCTTGGGAGGCGCGTGCTGCTAAAGTGGGTACCTCTAACGACAAGCTGAGTAACTTCTCTATGATCCATAGGTGGAAAGAGGTGGAGCCAGGATGTGAACCAGGCAACCTTACCCCCAAGTTTGTACTCCAATCACCACCTTTGCTGTGTGTCCACACGTGCCAAGCATGAGTACTTTACAGGAATTAACTGGTCTGATCCTCAGGACAACTCTGCAAGGCACACACACACTTCTCACTACCATTCCTAATTCACCATCAAGGAAACTGAGGCTCAGAAACATGTAATTAGTCCAGGATCACGGAGGTTCAAACTGTTGACCCCAGCTACTGTGGCCTTCAGTGCTGCATCACAATGTGCTGGCTGAGTCTAAGGGTGAATATGGGAAACAAGGGGGTCTAATGCTCTCGGAGGTGTTCTGGGGGCGGGGGGGGGGTGATCAGAAAAAGAGCTGCCCACGCCAGAGGTACCTGGACAGGAGGAGAATCCCCAGCAAACTCCTCCACGGGGTTCCGTTCCGCAAAAGCAGCCACAGATAACCGGACCAGGCTCCTCAGAATCTGGTGAGGACCGGACTCTCCCGCAGGAGACACTTTGCCGTTGAGATTTCGCGGCTGTCTCAGGGTTGCAGAGGAGGCTGGTGGGCTCTGTGGGGCTTTCTCACTGCCCTGGTCTCCAGCCAGCCTCCCTGTGGGGCTGCCAGGTACCTTCAGAGGCCTTAAGTGTGGCTGGCCTAGGGCAGGTGGGGACTCAGGAAGGCTTAGGTTTTCTCTGGAGGCATTCCTCTGCCTGGGATGGTTGAAAAGAAAGTTGAAGGTATCCTGGAGTACCTCCTGGCTCTCTGCCAGTGCCCCCTGGTTGCCTTGGTTACGCAGGGTCCTGTATAGGGTTGGCGTGAGGTGGAAGGGGGCCTGCAGGCAGGAGTCCCAGCCTGCTTCCATTAGTGCCTCCTTACTGGTATCCTTGTGAGATGACCTAACTTCATCAGCCTCATCCTCCTGGGCCCTGAGCATAGGCACCAGGTGGATATCTGCCTTCTGGATGTGTTTCTGGGGCCTCCTGGGCTGGTGGCGGTACGTGGACTCAGCTTCGCGGCAGTTGTAGGCCCTGTTATCCTTCTTCTCTGTCCGGCAGATGGACACGAACAGAGCCAAGATCAACCCAAGGATGGCCAGCAGTACAGCCAGGCAGATCATTGCCAGCACGGGTGTGCTCAGGACCCCAGGCTCGTGAGCAGAGTCCCTTAGGTGGTCCACACTGGTGACAAACACGACCCTCAACAGAACTCGAGTCTGCAAGGAGGGGCTGCCGTGGTCCTCTACCACTATCCCCAGGTCCCACTGACTCCCAACGAGGCTGCTGGCATTAGTGACGTTAATGAATAGCTGCCCCAAGGAGGGGCTGAGGACAAAGAGATGAGCCTCATTCCCACTTTGAATGCTGTAGAGGAGCTCCCCATTGGCCCCCGAGTCTGCATCTCTTGCCACAATCGTCACCAAGAGGAAAGACCAGGGGCTGTGGGTAGGCACTGGTGCTGTACCAGGAAGTGCTGGATCCAAGCCACTGGGATTCTCGATGGGCAACAGAAGGTGGCCCGTGGAGGCGTTTACAAGCACTGAAAGGGTGGCTTTGCCTTCACTGAGCACAGGCTGAATCACTTCTGGGGCATTATCGTTGGCATCCAAGAGGCTAACCCACACAGAGATGCCGGATGCAAGCCGGGGTCGCCCTCCATCCTCAGCTATCACCTGGAACTCAAAGCCTGCCATCTGTTCATAGTCCAGTGACTTCTGAGCAGTGACTTCTCCCGTCTCAGAGTCAATAACTACTAGGTGAGAAAGGGGGGAGTCCTTGATATGGTATGACACTTTCCCATTAATGCCCAAGTCAGCGTCATGAGCTTTGAGAGTAATGAGATGAATAGAGGGTGGGTTGTTTTCCCAAGTGGAGACCTCATACCGGCTCTTCTCAAACACAGGCGCATTGTCATTCACATCACCGACCTGAATTTGGAGCTCCTGCTCAGCTGATAAGGGCTGGGGTCCTTGGTCTTGGGCAAACACCGTGAGAGTATATGTAGACCACTGCTCTCTGTCCAGTGTGGCGTTGGTGAGCAGCATGTACGTGTTGCCATTAGTCCTTTTCAGCCTGAAGTGGCCCAGCTCTTGCTTCAGCCAACAGTGGACCAGACCATTGTTTCCTGAGTCCAAGTCATTGGCACTAACAAGAGCAATGAAACTGTCCCTGGGCAGATCTTCTGACACCAGGGACGTCTGGGAGGCCCATGTGACGTGGATGCTTGGAGCATTGTCATTGACATCCAGAACTTTGATGAGAACTTTGCAATGGCCGGGGATGGAGTTGGGACCCAGATCCCTTGCCTGGACATCCACCTCATAGGCAGGATTCTTCTCATAGTCTAGGGCTTGGCGCAGAATGATCTGGCCTGTCTTGGCATCTACACCGAAGGTGTTCATCACCTCTGGGGACACGTGTTTGCCAAAGAAGAACTCTACCTCCCCATTGGGTCCTTGGTCTGGGTCCGTAGCAGTCAAGTTTATGAGAAGAGTGCCAGGAGCAGTGTCTTCTGGGATTTCTAGTGCTAGTGAACTCTCAGCAAACACCGGACTATTGTCATTGGAATCCAGGACATTGACCTTGACCACGCTGGTGCCTGACTTAGGGGGATTCCCATTGTCATAGGCAGTCAGCACCAGATCAAAAAATGAGTGGACTTCCCTGTCCAGCTCCTTCACCACCACGAGTTCTGCATGTTTGGTCTCATCAGGCCCCACAATAACATCCAGAGCAAAGTGTTCACTGTGAGACAGAGAGTAGGAATACAAGCTGTTAGGACCAGTGTCTTGGTCAAGAGCCCTGTCCAAGGGGATCCGTGTGTACAGAGCGGCACTCTCCGAGATTTCCAGCTCCTGTTCACCCTTGGGAAACTGTGGCTGGTGGTCGTTGATGTCCAGGACCCGAATCTCCACATGAATCAGAGCCGAAGCCCTTATGGCCAGCACATCAAAGGACAGCAGGCAGGGATCTTGCTGCGGGCAGAGCTGCTCCCGATCCAGCCGGCTGGAAGTGCTGAGCAGGCCATCCTCGGAGTTCATCTGAATAGGCAGTGCCTGAGGCAGCTGCAGGATCTGGAAGGCATCTCCTGCCTTCCCACGCCTCTCCTCCACTCCCGGTTCTTGGGACAGTTTCCCTATCACCGTGCCAGACGGCACTTCCTCTGTCACTTGGAATTTCACCATGACAGTGGCCACCTCTTGACAATCCCCCGAAAGGAATAAGTGGCTTCCTGGCCCCAAGAGCCCCAGCAGGAATGGCAGAAGTAGCATCTTGCTTACCACAGGGAGGGCTAGACTCAACCCACTGGAGCTCTTCAAAGGCCGGACACGTCCCCCAATGGCTCCTGAACGGCTCAATCAGCCTGGATCTCCCGCTTCAGACCTGCTGGTACAACTTTGTCCCATAATTAGAAGATGCTGGAAGAAGCAGGATTCCCAAGCAAGGCCATCTCTGTGGAAAGTTATCCGAGAAGTCTCCAAACGGATGAAGTGCTAGAGGAGATTCCTGCTCCGCAGCCGCACCAGCTGGTCCACTTAGCAGTGATGGGCAGGAACCGGTCTGAGAGAGACTTGACCTAGTAAAGCGGGGGATGTAGGGATCTGACTTCCAAACAGTAACTAAGCTGGGGAAACAGAGAAGCAGCTTTTTCCTATGGAAACCCCACCTACAGGAAAAGGGAGGGCTGTGAGTTTCAATGGCAATTAGAGAAAGAGCATTTCCTGTGAGGCAGAGAAGCCTGTTGCTGAAGAGGATGAGGCCAGGGCTCCTGGGACAGGCTGGATGGGAAGGTGCTGTCCACGCAGCAGCAAGGCAGCCAATGAGGGACAGGGAGCCACTGTGTAGCCGAGTGAGCAAAGAACTTGACCTATACTGATGTCCCTCTAGGGCACATCAGGCTCCCCATCTCTCTTCCTCATCTTTTTTTTTTTTTCTTTTTGCCTTCTTCCCCCATTCTTCTACCTTCTAGAAGCCCCTGTCTTTTTCTTATACTTGTTGGACTCTCCGCCTCAACTTTGCCCCCAAGTCTGTCTCTCTGGGAAGCAGCTATTATTAGTAGGAAAGCCACACAAGCTAAAATGGCACGGGTGCAAATTCTGACTTTGCAACTTATCAGCTGGGCTTTCTGGAACGAATGACTTGACCTCCCTGAGCATCTACTCCTTCATCTTCAAAGTGAGGTGGGGAGCAGAATAATTGTCCTCCCTTCAGGAAATTGTGAGAATTGGATAAAACGATGTATAAAATCCCTTGGCCCCGTTCTGGTCCCAAATCACCAACAACAATGTTGTTTGGGTAAGGGTATTGTGGTTGATACAGCTCGTTCCGCCTGTGGGTGGAGCTCTCACATTGGCCACCGGGTAGTTTTTGCTCACGTTGACCCCCTGAGGGTGCCAATGGCTCTACCAGAAGCTGTAAGGAAGGACCTGTATGGTCGGACTGCAAGGCGCCCTTCCCCCCTCCCCTTCCTGAGATCCTTGGGATCCATTGTTCTCTGCATCTGGTCCAACTTGAGTCCCTGTCTGGGGAACCCCCAGCCTCCCTTCCTCTGTCTCAAACTTTTCACGTTTCCTTCTCCCACACCTTCCTCTCCCTTTCATCTGTCTTTCGCCCTCTTCCTCCAATTCTTCTCACCACACTTTTGTTTATGAGAGTCCTGTGAACAGCAGCTGCCTGGCCTCCCAGCCCTGGACTTAAGGTGATTCTCCCTCCTGCTCACCTTCTCGCTTAGGCGAGGTGCAGGAAGGCGGAGGAGTGGGCAGTCTGCTTCCATAGCCTTGTGGCTTCTGTTTTCCTCCTTCTGTTGCCTCCAATAGTCTTCTAGGTTTATTCTGCCGATCTGTAGAGCATTTGAAATGCTGGAGATTAAGATCAACTTCCCAAAGATGGGTGTCTACTGCTGAGTCCTTGGGGCCAGAGATGCCCCATTTGGACACAGTGACACCACTCAGGGCTTCTTGGCATGGAGATCCATGGCAGTCAGGCTTGGAGTGGCTGAGGGGTAGCCACATGCACTCCCTCTCCTCTGTCCTTTCTTTCCTTCCATCCTGGAGTTTACTCAACCATCTCACTGAGTCCCCTAAGCCATGGCAGGGGTCCTGAGTCTACAGGGCCATTTCCTTTGGTACAGCTTTGGGACCGCCAGACCCTCACAGACTTAGAACACCAATGATGGAGAGAGTCCCTGAGCACTAGCCTCCTTCTCTGAGAGTGTGGCTGTCATCTATCTTATAAGTTTATAGTAAGGACTAAAAAAGTGGTACATATGGAGGCCTAAGTGTGGGGTCTGGCAGAGATCATTCAGCAGGTAGGGTCCACCATTTTCTCTTTCTCATCTTGCAGATTTAACGGCGCATATGCAAATGTGAAATCAGTCATGAATTTACCTTTCTGCTTTTGTTTCCTTGTTTATTTTTTCTTCCTTTGTCTGGTCTCTCTTAGCTCTGGGTGAGCAAGATACAGCCTACACCACAAGGGGAGCCGAGGGGTTCCCCTCAGAGCACAGTAACACAGTGGACGCCCATTGTCCTCTGGGGACAGCCTGCTTGATGACCTCACTGTCTGACCCTCGTTCATCCTACCGCTGCACCAGGCAGTAAAGAGACCGTGACCCCCAAGGGCTTACGGTCAATGCGGAAGTAGGGGAAAAGAAAAAGTGAGCCCAGTGCAGTCACTGTGGATTGTGGCCTGGGAGTCATCAGCAGAGCCTCCGGGCAAGTGCTCAGTGATCCCTGGTGGACGGGAGTAGTTCACTAGGGCAAGAGAAAGAGCAGAGAAAGGCAAAGCAGGCCAAAGACACAGACTGTGCAGACTCCAAAGTGGACAAGCTGCTTCCTTCTGCTGCATCTGGAGGGGTCTATGTGGTACGGAAGAAGGAAGGTGGAACCAGGGTCACTGGGTGATGAAAGGCCTGGGTCCCCACAGGAAGGACCTAAAACTTATTCTGGAGGCCAGAGGAGCTTTGGGAAGGCACAGAGCAGGACGATGAGATCAGCAATGATTTGCCAGCCTCTGTCCTGAGTGCTTTACCCATGTCCTCTCGTGCCCCTCCCCTCCACTGCCCCCTGCCCATTACCAAGTCATCAGGCTAAAGAAGCTGAACACAGGAAAGTTGTCCGAGATCCTACAGATTTGCCTTCCAGAAAGCCTCTTCAACTGCACCCAGGAAGGTAGCAGAGAGGGGAGGCCAGTTGGAAGTCTGCAGGAGAGCCTGGATGCAGAAAATGTTTCCAGAATGGGAATGTTTCCAGAATGCCATCTGGTGGCCAAAGGCAGAGAACAAAGCACAGAGGCACAAAAGGGACAGCCACCAAGGTGGGAGGGTTCATAGAGCTGTGCTGCACAGATGCACATAAACAGAAAAGATACCACAAATAGTGAAAAGTCTCAGTACAGTGGTTCTCAGCCTCTCTAATGTTGCTACCCCTTTAATACAGTTAGTTTCTCATGTTGTGGTGACCCCCCCCATCATTGCTACTTCATAACTGTAACTTTGCTACTGTTATGAATCATAGTGTAAATATCTGATGTGTGACCCCCAAAGGGGTCTCTACCTACAGATTGAGAACCATTGTCTTAATAGATGACCAAACCTGGGTGTGGTGGTACATGCATGGACTGGTCAGGAGTTCAAGGTTATTCTTGGCTATGTAGCAAGTTGAAGGCCAGCCTGGGCTACATGTGATCCTGTCTCAAAATAGCCACATCAAAAGATAACCAGGGCTCAGAAAGAATGGAGTTCATGATTTTACGTGTATTATTTATATTCCTGAAAAGAAATTGTTATGCATACTTAGCAATGCCATATACAATTAAATTTAATAAAACAATATATGTGCTTATGCATGCATATGTGTGTTATGACCATGAATACAAAAAAAAATGAACTTACATCACAAAACTTTGAATTTGTATTTCACATGTGTTTTGCTGCTATTGCTTTGTTGTGGTTTTGGATTTTAGGATCTTTTTTTTTTGAGACAGGGTTTTGCACAGCTTGGGTTGACCTTGAACTCTCCGTGAAGCAAAGGATTACCCTTGAATTCCTGATCCTGCTGCTTCCCGCCTCCTGAATATTGAGATTACAGGTGCATGCTACCATGCACAGCTGGCTAGGTGTGATTTTTTTTTTTTTTAATCATCACTGTGTGCTTTATTTGAGCCACCCCTTGAAAAGTCCCAAAGGTTTATGAAACAAGACGTCAGACTGTTTCACAACCCTTTGGGAAGGAGGCCTCCATTCTCTCCTTCTCTCTCCTTCCTTCTTCTAGAGGAAGCTGACTTTCCACAGCAGTCTGTCAAAGGGTGAGTGGGGCTGTCACTGGAGTTTGTTTAGGAAGATTTCATTTCCTTAAATTTTGAAAGAAGTTTGGAAGGAGCAGAGGAAGTATTTGAGATAGGTTGGACACGGCTGAACATGGCCTCCCTCAGGTCCTCGAGATTTTAAGACAGCGAGCGGTAGATTAGGACTGCTGCTTGACATCTTTGCTCACCCCCGAGCCTTGAGGTGACTCCTTGGGCATAGCAAGGAGCTGAGGGGTAAAATGAGAAGGGTGAGAACCAGTGACTCTTTTTAGAGCACCGGGAACCTCCAGGGCTCAGACTAGTAAGATGTAGTGTGTCTCTTGGGGGCCATTGACAGACAGTACAGCTAGATAAAGGCTAAGCCTACCCACTCAGTATAGACGTCCTGACTTGGCCTTCTGGATTGGCTCTCCTGAGCCTGCCCACTAAGACAGCTCCAAGGAGGCCTAGAAGCGCTGCCCTGAGCATCATTCCACTCTTGAAGGTGGCTGGACCATCCAAGGTCACCCTCCTTTAAGAGCCAGACCTTGCTGAAGTGAGAGCCAGGAGTCTTGACTCGGAGACTCAACTAGTTATTCTGGGTCACGTGATCTTGGCATGGCACTTTAAGGGCTTTACTAGGACAGGTGACAAATGTCAAATCTCACACCGTGGCATCTCTTTCTAGACAAGTACAGAAAGGAAAATGGACTTTGCAAGGAGAAACTTGCCAAGATGTAGGACTTTTCAAGAAATGAAAAGGTGTTCTGTCTTAGAAAAGAGTGGTAGGTCCTCAAAGGGGACTGCACACGGGATGACTTGGAAGCTTGTGAAATGCCAGAGGCAGGGTAAGAAAATTCAAATTTCTCCTTTCCCAGGCTGCCAAGGTTGACTCTTCAATGTTTAGCTCAATTGTCACTCCTTCTCGCAGGCCTCTACTTTCAGATTACTTGGATCCCCTTTCTGGAGAGACTCTGTCGATCTACACAATAGGATGAAAAAATAGCAACAAAACTTGAAGTTACTGTCAAACGTCGCTGCAGAAAAAAACAGGCCGTCGAGGGAATGGAAGGTGAGTCGGACATTTGACGAAGTTATGGCCAACTATGGACCTCTTCATGATTTTCATGGAAAATGCAAAAATAGATTGATGGTGTTTTCAATCCTCTCTCTCTCTCTCTCTCTCTCACACACACACACACACACACACACACACACACACACACACACACGCACCAATCTTCAGAGGAGAAAGGCACTAATTTACTTGTTTATTTTCTTTTTCCTTTTTGGATTTTCGAGACAGAATCTCTCTGTGTAGCCCTGGCTGTCCTGGAACTAACTCCGTAGACCAGGCTGGCCTCGGACTCAGAGATTCACCTGCCTCTGCCTCCTGAGTGCTGGAGGTGTTAAAGGTGTAGGCCACTACCACCTGGCTTAATTTACTTGTTTCAATTCTGTTTTTTGTTTATTTGTGGTGGTGGTGTTGTTTAAGGCAGGATCTC